AAGTGCCTGTCCCCTCCCCACTTGCTTCTCTTCCTGAGGCTCTGCTTCAGCCAGGAAGAAGGGGCGAGAGGGGCCCCTTGGCTGGCTTTCCTGAGCCAAGCAGACTTCTGCCAGATGCGCCCAGCAGCCTCTCCTTGGCAGCAGATTTTTCTCAAGCTGCCAGCCTCCCTCGACAGCAGCACCTGTTACTTGCAAGGCCCTTTAATGCTGAGGGAAGGCGACTCCCACCCAGCCTCTCCCATGTGGGGCTGGAACTCCATGGCGCTGAGCATTGCACCTGGCTATGGAGACCGTCCCCTGCCCAGTGTAAACGTCTGCTCTCTGAACTTAGGCAGCAGAGAGCCATGCACGGAGAAGAAAAAGGGCAGGCTGGACGTCTTGGCCTTCAGCCTTACCCATCTAATATTAACTTTTTAAAAAATAAGCATTATGTGTACTCGGTCTGAATGACCCTGTTTCAAGGTACACCTGTATCCTCATTCCAGCCCTTAACAACGACAACATCTGTTGCCTCCCTGGTTGCAGATGGATGCTGCTGGGACAGCAGAACAGCCTTTACAACTGGCACTCTCAAGAAGTTTTGGACTACAACTTCCATGGTCCTTGGTTCCACTGATCCAGTTGTCCCTCTCAGAGGATCCTATTGATTGCAGAAATCATCTGAAAAGATGACCTGAGTCCCTCGGAGATTCCTTAATGGCTGCAAAATGAGGGGGTGACTTGCTGTACCCACTAAGGAAAGTTCAACTGGTTCTCTGCTACTTCCCCCCCCCCAAAATGGCTCATTTTCCACACATTCAAAGCAGGCTGTTTTGCTAAAGAAAACTAGCCCTTGAATTCAACCATTTCCCCCCCCCAAAAGTTTAAACCCATTCTCAGATTTTGTGTTTTGCATGCTCGGTAGCCAGCCAGAAGCAAAGAGGGCTAACGAGCAACAGAAGCCGGAAACTGAATCTGAAGGAAAAACTGAATCATAAATCAGTTCTGAAAAGGAAGCCTACAAGTTGTGTCTGAACAAAAAAAGGGGGGGGGATGAGTAAGTCATACTGGGGAGAAATAAAACTGATGAATGATTTTGGAATTCTGGCCTTTCTCGTAGCAGCACAGATGTGGGAGGAAGTTGGAGATGCGCCACACAGCAATGAAGCCAGCCACAGAGCTTACTGTGGCCCAGGTGCTCCTCACCACTGCCTTGTGAGGTAGGCCAGAAAGAACCAGCGACCCCAAGCCCCCCCTTGGTGCTGATGAGAAAGGCCCCGCTGAGGGTGCTTGTTTCTTCTGCCAGAACTAAGAGGGTGTGGCTGGGCCTTTGACTATTGCCAGCCGCCTGGTGTCTGAAGAATTATATTCACGTTGAGGCAAAGGCGTGGGACCAAGAGGGCCAGTGGGAGGAATCGGTTGCAGGGGGGGCAGGAATGTTGAAGCCGCCCAGCTGGAGGCCTCAGAAGGAACGGATGCAGCCAGAAACCCATCAGAGCTCCCAGTCTGTGGCAGCTGAGGAAAACCCCATTTGCAGGTCAGCTTTGGAGGCAAGGAAAAGCGATCACAGAGTGTCCCTCCGAGGCAGCTGCTGAGCCAGCATGCAGGAGCAAATCCTGAGAAATGCCATTAACTTTACATCATCTCTTATAGTGGCTGCCCTTGAACACACACCAGTCTCAAAACAGTCAGAGCAGCCACCCTGTTTTTCTTCTCCAACACAAAGCAAAGGGCAGGTCGATGAAAACCACAATTGGAGTGCCCACTCAGAAGGGCTCATAATCCCCAGCCTGCTGGCTCCTCCTCACGAGTCGGCTTGAGCCCAAAGACACGCCAGCCAGGAGGGCCAAAGGAGGAATGACAAATCGCTACTGTGCGGTACTTGCCCACAAGTCAGGCAGGCTCCCTGTTTTGTCAACATCTTCGGATCCAGCCCAGCAGTGGTGCAAAACTGAACCCCTGGAAGGGGCCGTGAGGAAGGCTAGCCCTGGCTGAGGCCAAGATTGGCACTCGTGGTGGCACTTTCTGTTTGATCTCCAAGAGGGACGACAGGAACCAGCAGAGGTAAACTGACAGAGGAGATCCAGACTTGCCACAAGGAGGAATTTCCTGCCCGAGGGGGCTGTCTCTGGGGACTGGAGCTTTCCAAGCCTGAGGGCTGCCCCCCTTGAAGGATTCCTGTGTGCAGATCCAACAAAGCAGACCGGAGACCTGCCTTTTGCATCTTGGAGATGCCGTTTGCTCTTGGTCTGCAAAGTGTTTTCAGGCCAAGACTTGTTCTGGCCACCAAGGGAGATGATGTCCGATCTGCCTCCTGCAAGAAGAGGCTTTGCTCCAGCCATTTTCTGCCAGCAAGAAACTAGGTTAAAGAAACACTTCGGTGTAGGGCATCCGTACACTCAGGGACAAGCCAGCAGGGTGTGTTCTTTCTTTTCTTGAACTAGAACATCCAGTAAAATCGGATCCAACTTCCTTGATTTAAAAGGTCTCTGCCTGTCCCCGAGGCCCTTTCCCACCCCAAAGCCTCCATTTGAAGGAGCAGCAGAAAGGCCACACTTTCCATCAAAATAAATAAGGCGACGCCCACAACAGACTGGAAAAGGTGCACCCAACACAGCAGCATCAACACTATGGGACCATTTAGAATCACGAGAGACCCAGCTCTGCAGCAGTTGGCCTGGTGCTTTCCTGAGCTGCAGCCATGAGCCGCCTGGGGATTCTCTCTAGCCTTGCAATGACAGCCACGCTTAGACCGCACTAAAGCTCACTGCAGCTTAGGGGATCTGCCTGGGGAGGGGAGGGCAGCTGAATGGTACCCACCTCTTCCCTGCTCGACCCGCGTTGGGGTTCAGAGGTGACAGAAGGGCAGCCAGGGGCCTCCATCCGGGGGAGTGTGCAGGCTTGCCACCAAGGGCAGGTGGAGACCATGGCGAGGTCCGTGTTGCAGGGATGCTGCAGCGCCACGAACCAAGATGCAGTGGAGGCTTTATGAGGACAGCCTAGTCCGACAGGTGTTTGTCGTCACCTGAGAACCTCCCAGCCAGTGGCCCAGGGCAGAGGGTGGGAGTGGCCCAAGGGGCAGGAACCCCTTCCTCTCCAATTTCACCTCTCCAACAGGCCCTGCTCTTCGCAACTCTGCAAAGGAATTCCGTCTTGTCAAAGCCAGACAGAATTCGAAAGAGCCAGAGAAAATCTCAAGCATTCTCAGAGATTTCCCTGTGGCGTCTCCAGCATCAGGCAAGCAGCCCTTTTCCGCCTCTGGGATTTTCAGCTGGCTCTCGGCTTCCTGATCCACCGGGAGGCGCCTAGGCAGCCCACAGGCAATTCTGGGGGTGGGCAACTTTAGGCAGAGTTGCTAGCACACACCACAATCTGAGCAACTCAGATTCTCAAGGGAGGTGGCTTCCTCACAGACCCCAGGATCCCCCGGGGTATCTTCAGAATCTAAGCTTCCATTTGCAAGAAATGCACAAAGTGATGCTGCCAAGTTGAAAATACAAGGAAAGTAGCAGCCAGGCTGAATTCCAGCAAAGGCAGCTCTGGAGACAAGAAGGTGATGGCCCTGGTCTGCTGTTGGGGGCCAGATGCTCCCTGAAGGTACAAGACTCAGCAGTTTTTAAAAAAACCAACTAGAAGAGTCTTCAAGACTTGGGAAAGAGCTCAATACCTCTGCGAGGTGGGCCCAGCCCCGAGGCGAGGGATCCAAGAAGCCACGGGTTAAGGAGGCTGCCTTTCCTGGCTGGCCCCCCTCCAAGCAGCCTGGGCTGAAAGCACCAGAAACGCCAGCCAGCTCGGTTAAAAGCCAGACTTGCCGCAAGACTGAAACTGGAACCCGGGTTTCCAATTGCCTTCACCAAGCAGGCCAGCCGGGACAAAACTTTTGTCTTTTCAAGCCTTGGGAAGGGGCCAACCCTTGTGGTCAGAAGGAAGTGGAGTCATCTGGGACCCGGGTGGGGATCTGCGTGGAGCCCTGCGAGTTGCATGTCCTAGAAGGATCCTCAGACCGGGTGCTGCACCACTGTTGTTCGGCTCCCCGCCTGCCTCTCCTTTGCCGCCCGGGATCCTGCCTGGCTACTTCAGGGCTCAGGCGCTTCCCTTCCGGGCAGCCAAATGTCCAACAACATGGACAGGAGAGTTCCTGGACACCTGTGCCCTGCTCTGTCATGGCCACTCTGGAGTGGCGCCTGGCCAGCGTCAGAGCCGGGAAGGGAGCATCACCTACCAGGGAGCCCTGCCTGCAGTAGCCGGGGACTAGTGTGAAATCCTGGCTTGTAGTTCCAGGCCCTTGCCAGGGCACTCCTGCCTGCCTGCCTGCACAAGGGGAGCAGAGCTGATGGGATGCTCGGCAAGGACAAAGCACCAACAATGCCAGCCACAGCACGTCAGTCAGTATCCGGCTGCCCCGGGGAGCCCACTTGGCCCTGGCTCAGAGGGAAAGGACAAAGACGGCATCACCAGTTCCTTCCTGGGAGAAGGAAGGCGGGACGGGGGGGGGGGGGCAGCCACAACACCCAGAAGCTTCGTGGCCAAAGCAGCCCTGAACAGGGCACCATTTGGGACGGCGGTCCGCGGACGGGGCAGGTTTGGGAGGCCGGCGGTGCCCCTCGCCTCCCCATCCCCGCCGGCCATACCCGGGCGGGACGCCATTCTACCGAGCGGCCCTGGAGCTCGCGCCCTTCCGCCAACCGCGACGGAGCCTTCCCGGGCGCAATATCTCGCCTCCGCCTGCACCGGGACATCTGCCGGAGCATCAGGCGGCCCTCCCCGTTTGCTGCGGAGACGGACAGACCCCTCGGAAGGTCGCGGCTCGCCCGCCCGCCCGCCCGCCCGAGATGTCCGACGGGGGAGGTCGAGTCCCGCAGCCGGCGCCGAGGCTCCCCAGCCCGTAGGAGGGAGGGACTGGGCGCGCCTCCACCCCGGGAGCCCCGGGTGGGCAGCGGCTCTCCGGAGCCGGCGGCGGGACTCCCCGCGCGCTCCTCGCCAGGCGCCTCCTCCGCCCGCCCGCTAGTCCCCCACTCACCATGGCCGAACGGCGCCGGGTCCGGCGGGCTCAGGGCGCAGCTGCAGCCCGGGCGCCGCCGCGGAGAGCACGGCGGAGCAGTCGCGCCATGCAGGGAGCCGGACTGGAGCCGCCCCTCGCCGGGGCCTTGGAGCGGGGCCGAGAGGGCGTCTCCGCGCGGCGCTCCTCCCGCTGCCCGACCCGCCCAGCCCAGCCCAGCCCAGCCCCTACAAGGAAGGCTCGGCGTGGCCTCCCGACCAGAGCCCCGCCACAGCTTTGCCAGGTGGGCCGGCCGGCTCGGGGGACGGGACGGGTTGCACGACCCGGCGAAGCCCGGAGCAGCCGCGGGACTCCCGCCGGTGGCTGCTGAGTTCGCGGCGTGGGTGGCCTTCCCGCCGCCACCGCCGAAGGCCGCTGGCCGCCTGCCAGGACCGGACCGGCGCCCCCTACCCGTCTCCCGACCCCCGGCAGAGCGGGCTGCACAGCTGGATTGCTAGCCGCGGGACGGCGAGCGGCAGCGGCCCCTAGCGGTCGCGGGCGAAACAGGCTGAACTGCCCCTTCGGGGCCCAGAAGCGCTCGGGAGCAGCGTGAGAGGAACCGCGGTCCCCCCCCGTTGTCTCAGCACCCCCTTCTCCGGGGCAGGCCGGTGCCAGCGGCATCTCCACCGGGGAGCTCCTGGCCGCCGCCGGGCTTGCTCGGCGCTTTCCTGGCGGGGGGGAGGGGCAGCCGAGTCCTTTACTGGAGGCGAATCTGCGGGAAGTACCGGAATTTGCGGGGGGGGGGGGCGTTCCTTCTCTTGCTTCCTCTGCAGCTTTTTGGCGGGCGCCGCTGGGGGGTCCTGGCTCTGCCTCGTGGGTCTTGGCTGCGCTGCGCCCTATAAATAAGTTCCTTTTCTCCTCTCCCTCCAGGAGGCCCTCGCTTTGTGGAGGATGAGATGGGGGTTGCCATAGCGACAGCGTCCTGGCAACCACTCGCCGCGTTTTGCTCCTTTCTCCCTCCGCCCTCCTTCCTCCAGGACGCTGGCAGAGGCCCCACCCGCAAAGAGGCGAGAGGGCAGGTGCATCTCGACGGCGCGGCCATGCCAGCCTCGTGGGACGTCTCTGGCATTTCTGCACATCTGGAAGAGGGCGCAGGAGGCCGCCCGATGCTTAGGCAAAGGTCTGGGGCAGCCAGGCCCTGCCGCCCCCAGGTAAGAAGGGGTTTGGACGCGGCACTTTCTTCCTTCTGTCTGGAAATTGGGGGGGGGCACTGGGGCTATTCTGGTCCTGCCAGCCACCCTGCTTCTTCAGGTGAGCAGGCATCAATTGCCCATGCCCAGAATAAACCAGGGGGGGATGGGGGAAGCTTTTGCTGTGGGGTTGGGCAGAGACGCAGCAGTCCCCCTCCCTCTGGTGATGCCTTTTCCTCTGGGCACTCAAGTTTGAGGTGTTGGGAAGCGCATCATGTGGGGCTCTGAATGCAGATGTGGCATGTGGTGCTGTGAGTTGCTGAGCTGTGTGGGGGGGAGATCTTCCTGGGGAGAAACAAAGGCCCATCTTTCTGCATTATTGGCCCTAAAATGGGGGGGTGCAAGTCTTCCCAGTGGCATCAGCCCAGTGCAGGTCCCCGGAGAAACAGAGGCAGGAATCATGAGGAGGCTGGGGCGGGGGGGGGGGGGCTGAAGAAGGGAGTTCCGGAATTTGGCACTTTCGGACAATTTCTCCATTTTCAGCTTATTGGTTGTTGCAAAGGATGTGGGGGAGTCATACAAAGTCACCTTTTCAGGCTAGAAATGCACATCTTGATGCTTGAAGGAAGATATCCCAGCACACCCCTCCATCCCCCCAGTGAATAGGGAGACTCTTGCAGTATGCCACCCACTGGCTTGATCTGCTCGAATCCCACTTGGGAGCCTTTGGGACACCCTGAGCTGAGCCACTGCCCGCTCGCCACCCTGGGAGGGACTTTTCTGGAGCCCAGGAGGGGGAGGGAGCTTTGCTGCCCTCCCAGAGCAGGCAAGGAGACTGGTCATCCTTCCTGCTGTGCTGGTCCAGCCAAATGGGAGACCACCCAGCTGGAAGACAGGCAGGCAATGGGGGGGGGACCCTCAAATGGGAGTGTTTCCAAGGTTGTCGTGGAGACCCTCCTGGGCTTTTCGGATGTGCCTCTCCTGCCCTCTGGCCCTGCCCGCTTTGCTTTAGAGGCAGCCTGGGAAGATGCACTCCAAGCGTCCTATCCAGACAAGCCTTTAATGGGGGCATTTTAACAACTGGTCTATCAGCGCCATTAATTAAGTGCTGCTGCTGCTTTAATAGATGCACCCCCAAAGTGCAATGAGGAAAGCAGCAAAAACAGAGGAAGCACCAGCAACCCTCAGGGCCAAAAGAGCTGCTAAAAAGGGTGCCCCAGGAACCCCCTCCCCCCCCCATTGGACTTTTAATTTCCACAGTCCCAGCAGCTCAGAAGTCTTTCATCATTCCAGGCGGCTCAGGAATATTCCACAGCGCCCTGCTTTCTCCCACCAACCTCTGGTTGGTGCTCCCCCCTCCCAGCCTTCAGCATCGTGTTGGAGACTCGGGATGGGTTGGGAAGGCCTGAGCCCACCAGGCAAGGCCTTCACGCCTCTCTTTCCCCAATAGGTGTAAATCCCTGGAAAGAGAAGATGGCCCAGAGGAGCCCAAACTTCTCCACCCTCGGACCAACTGAAAGGTACCCTGAGACCCCCAAGGAGGGGAGGGGGGTGAGAATGGGGTTTCTGGGGGGTCCTGTCCAGCCTCAACTGGGGATTTCCTGGCTGGGCTGGGCTGCTCATCTTCTGGGGAGCTCCTGGGAGCAGCTGCTGCTTCCAGGCCATGTTCCTGGCCTCCTACCGCCCCACTCCTGGCCTGGGTCAGAGGGCAGGCCCAGAAGAGGTCCAGCACCTGCCAAGCCATAGCAGAGACTGGCCAGACCAGGGAGGGAGTGGGGTCTGGCAGACCAGGAGGCGGCTGGGAGGGGAAAGAGTCTGGGTCGGGCCCACTGCTGCTGCTGCCCCTTGGCTGCTCCCTCCTTCAGACGGATCCGGAACTTCCCGCTGCACAGCCAGGCCCTGACAGCGGTTCCGCTGGGCTCAGCCCGCCTGATGGACCAGCTGGAGGACCGAATCCTCAGCCATGAGAAGACCACGGCGGCCCTGGTGGAGCACGCCTTCCGCATCAAGGAGGACATCGTCTCCACGCTGCACCGGATGCAGAACAAGGGTGGCGGGGACCGGCTAGCCAGGCAGCTGCTGGAGGAGCATATCCGCAACATCACCGCCATCGTCCGGCAGCTGAATCGGGACATCGAGGTCAGTGGTGGCTCCTCGCGGCCTCTGGGGCTCCCGGACATCTAGGGGAGCCAGGCCGGGTCAGGGGGCTCCCACTGAGGGACGATTGCTTGGAGAAAAGAAGTGGCTGCTCCAGATACCACCTGCTTGCTCAGCTGATTGCCATGGAACAGTCGCATCTCACCCAGCCACATTGTCCACAGGACAGCAAGGGCCACCTCCCCTTTTCCGCCCTTGCCCACCCTGAGTTCCTCCACCGCAGCAGCTTTAAGGCCTGTGGACTTCCAAAATTCCCCAAGGCTGAGAAATGTTGCTTGTGCTAGAGAAGCGCCAGGTGGGATGCAAAGGCCTCGCACCTCAGTACCTGCTTCTGCTGCGGCCAGACCCCCCCCCCATATCTTTCCCCTCACAGCTGGCGTTGAGGGATAGACTGCTCCTGGCCATGCTGCCCTTTTGGCTTTCTGCTCCATCCCTTTATGGAGACGGCTGTGGGGCCTATGGCTGCAGGAAGCACCAGCAGCTCCCCATTCCCAGGCACTGTGGGGGATTCATTCTCACATTTCCTGCCTTTGTCAGGCTCTGCAGGAGCAGATCCGGGTCAGGGATAACCTGAGTTACGGAACAAACTCGACCTTGAAGAGCCTGGAGATGCGGCAGCTGTCTGGGCTGGGGGACCTTCGTGGACGGGTTTCCAGGTGAGACCCCCCCAAGGCTCGGACTCAGGCTCTCCTCTCCAGGGCAGAAGAATCTTGGTGGGATGCAAATCTTAGAAGGCCATTTCTGAACCTGAGAATGAGGAGGGGCTGGAGAAGAAGGCAGTGGATTTTGGGAGCTATAGTCCTAACCCGTGAAGTTAAGAAGGTGTGCAGAGGATCAGAGCCTCTGTGGGGCCCCGGAGTTAGGAGCAGCCGGTCTGGGGCCCAGAGCAGCTTCTTCCGGCCGTCAGCCACAAACTCAATTCGAAAGGGTCTGGGCAAAGAATGTATCTTGGACTCTGCCATTGTCCTTTTGAGCACCAAAAAGGGGCCTCTGGCACTTGCCCTTCCATGCTGGTGGCTCCTATCAGTTCACATCAACCATTTCTTTGGCATATCTCCCTGGCAAGTGTGTGTGATGAGGGGGTCTGGTGGGGGGGGTGTTCCCCTGGCTTCAGACTCTTCTGCTCTGGGGCCCTCCCCTCCCTCCCAGCCTGGAACTATGGGACAATTTCCTGCCATGTGGACTGAGGAGCTTATTTGGGGAAGCACTTTGCTGGCATCCACCCTCCTCTGGCTTTCAATCCAAGGTGGACTGGCTTCTCCTTAACCTGATGTCATTTTGCTCAGTTGCTGCCAAGATCGCCCTGACTCAGCCTTTCCCCTGAACCCCCACGCCTGGACCTGTTGCTGCCTGGGCTCCCTTTCCTGTTTCTCTCCTGCCTTGCTCGGGAGGAAGGGCAGCACGAGCCCATCTGCTTGATTGAGCTAAAGGGGTCAGCCGAAGGGAGGAGCAGAATCCGACTCCTCCTCGGCCCTTTCCGCCAGCCACTCTCCCTTCTGTCCATCCCAGGTGCGACGCAGGGCTGGCCAGAGTCTCCGCTGAGCATAAAGTCACCTACGAGAGACTTCAGAGCCTCAGTAAAGAGCAGCAAGCAACAAAATTGGTCCTGGAGTCCAAAGTCAAAGAGACAGAAATACAAGTAAGGGGCTTGAAAGGGCGGGTCGCCCCTCCTCTCTCCAGGCCCTGCATTGTCCATGGAAGCACCAGGGAAATCGGGAGCCCTTCAAGCAGGGTGCCAGCACAGCTCAGGCCCACCAGGGCCACCAGGCGTCGGCCCAGAGCCGGCTCTGGCTTCAGCCAGCCTGAATTTGTAGGGGTTTCCCAGAAGGGCCCCGGGCTTCCACCAGGAAGACGCGTCTACAGCCCCAGAAACAGGAGCAGACCCGCTGCAGCCTTTTTCATCTGAAACTGGCTCTGGTCTGGGCCCCCCCGGAGGCCCCTGGATCTCATCCACAACCTCCTAGTCTGCTGGCATGGGGGGGGGCTTCTCTTCCCTAGAGAAGCTGGGGCGGGGGGGGATTTGAATCAGAAGCTCAATGAAGGAAGGTTGAATCAGCTTCAGTGCACATCTGGGCCCAGTTTGGGTCATTTGTGTGGCTTTGGGGGGGGGAGGCTGGACCCCAAATCCCTCCTTCATTTCTCTTGGCTGAGCCTTCTCTGGTAGAAAAGCTTCGGTTCTGAGATGGCTTCAGTTGCCATGGGAAACAGTAGCTGCCTGGCTGCGGCATTGTTATTACTGGATAAATCGGTTGTGGGAGGGGGGGTGATGGGCTTATTTATCTTGCTAACTGAGCAAAGGAGGGGAGGGGGGTTGCCATTTCAGACAAAGAAAGCAGAGCTCAGAAGCCCCCTGGGTCCGATCTGGGTTGGCAGCCGGTCACTCCTCCACGCCTCTTCCAAGACCGCTCCTGGCCTGGCCTGCCAAAGCCCCCTCACCATCTGGAAAAATGGGGGCCAGAGCATCACTCCATAAGAATGTGTGAAATCATTTTCTCCCCGCATTAGTCAGCAGCCCCTGGTCTGCATGAGTCAGTGGGGAAGGGGATCACGTGCCGATTTGCCCATCTGTGGCTTCCCCTTGTCAGGAAAAAGGCTGTCAAACCTCTGATGAAGGATGGAGGGCACTCCTGGCATCTATTTTTGGAATCTTCCCAGTTCAGATTCGGTGGAGGTTACCTTGGGACTGGCTGAGGGATGCTTCTCCTGGATCCCCCCATCCCTCTGGGGCAGCCTCTGCTGAGAGAAGCCCTGGGTGAGGGTGGGGCGGGCAATGAGATGGCAGGTGGTCAATGCTTCCCTCTCCTTGTTCTTCTGGGGCTCTAGCAGAGAGTGAGCAAGAAGGACTGATGCCCTGCTGCAGGTGGGCACAGGAGGAGCCTTCCCCTCCCCATGCACCCCAAGGCATTGGCAGGCCTCTCCATCCTGGCTGGGGGTCATGGGACCTGGAGCTGGTAGCTCGAGAAAAACGCTCTTCCTTTGCGGGCAGGGGTTTTGTTCAGAAGCAAAGCCGTGCCCTCCTGGCAGAGAAGAGACCACACCACCAAATGCTGCCCCCCCTCCCATGGAAACAGTCCCCACAGTGTGGATGGCTTAAAAAGTAACCCTTTTCAAAATGGTTTGGAGAATCTAGGGCTTTTCCGCCTAGCTTTGGTCAGGTCCAGCTAGCCGAGAGTTGTCAACTTCTTTGCAAACCGGAATTATGTGTGGAAGAAGCCATAATTTGACTCTCCCTCCCTGCCAGATTTCCCATCTTTTGAGCAGAATCGAACAATCTGTGATGCAACAAGACGCAAAGCTCAAGCTGGCCTACAAAGAGAGCAATCAGCAGCTCCATCTTCTGGAGGCCAAGTAGGTTCCCCCCCAAGGATCCAGCCAGTTTTCCTCACCAGTTATTGTAGGGCTACACCCTGCGCTGCCCTGGAAAGTGCCCTTAAAGGTCTACTGGGGGAGGAAATGCCCTTCTGCTCAGAGCCATTTCCCACCTACCCAAGAGTTTCGTCTTAACTGTGCGAAAGGCTCGAGCCGTCTCTCGCTGCTGCTATTTGGGGGGTGGCTGATTCTTTCTGCCCCACCAGGCTGCAGGACGCCATCGACCACCTCACCAGCCAGATCTCCTCTGCCCGCAGCCAGATGGAGCAGGAGCAGGGGCGCTTCGAGAAGAAGTTCCTGGAGAAGATAGACCACCTTTTCCTTGCCGTCAAGGAGAAAAGTGTACGTTTCTGGTCTTGGGGGGCCCTGAAAAGCATCCCCAGTCCTGGAGTGAGAGAAAGAGCTGCACATCACACACACAGGAAGCCAGGTGGCAAACTTATTTTAACCAAGGTTTGTAGGGAAGGCCTCACTCCGTGGACCGAAATGTAAACACATGTCCTTAGGCCAGGGATAAGCAACCCAAAACACTCAAAGAGCCACTTGGACCCGTTTCCCACCGAAAACAAAATGCTGGGAGCCGCAAAACCCTTTTGATATCTAAAATGAAGATAACACTGCATATTTCCTTTTTTACCTTTAGTGTGTGTGTGTGTGTGTGTGTGTGTGTTTATACAGGGCTTTTTTTCTCATAGAATGCCCAGAACGGAGTTCCGGCACCTTGTAGGGTAGGCAAGGTGGGTTGTATGACGTGTGTGAGTTCCGGCACCTTTTTTTTTTTTTACAAAAAGAGCACTGTATATATAAAATAAAGGTAAAAAAGGATATATGCAGTGTTATCTTCATTTTAGATGTCAAAGGGGTCTCTCTCCTCTCTTTCCTCTCTTTCTCTTTCCTCTCTCTCTCTTTCCTCTTCCTCTCCCTCTCTCTTTCCTCTCTCTCGCTCTTTCTTCTCCCTCTCTCTCTTTCTTCTCCTTTTCTCTCTTTCCTCTCCCTCTTTCTCTTTCCTCTCTTTCCTCTCCCTCTTTTTCTCTCCCTTTCTCTCCCTCTCTCTCTTTCCTCTTTCTCTTTCTCTCTTTCCTCTCTCTTTCTCTCTTTCCTCTCTCTTTTTCCTCTGTCTCTCTCTTTCTCTTTCCTCTCTCCCTCCCTCTCTCTCTCCATGTGAGGAGAAAGAACAAAAGATAGACGGCGCCGAAGGGGCGGGGAGGGGAAGGAGCAGGGAGGGGGAGCAGGACGGGAGGCAGCGGCTCCAGTGGCAGCACGGCGGCGGCCACTGCAGCATCGTTGGGGGTCCCCGCCGCCGCTGGCCCAGCTGCCACCCCCGCCGCGTCGTCAGCCATTTTGCTATCGCAAGAGGAGGGCGTCAAGGGGACGCTGCTCTCCCTGCGGCGCGGGTGCACCATGGGCGGCCACGCCAGCAACGGCGAGTGCCGCCGTGGGGACGAGGGGGGTCCCGACCCACCGCCGGCATCGCAGCTTAAGGTCTCCTCCTGCAGCATCGAGGGTGGTGGCGGCGGCTCCCCAAAAGCGGCCGAGGAAGGCGCCACCGATGGGGCCGAGGTGGGGCTGGGCGATGGAGAGCCCTGTGGCAGCGGCGGCAGTGGGAGGACGGCGAAGGGGCTCGGCTGCCCGGCCACCGCTGCCTCTCCGGCCTCGCTCAGCGTGATGGGCAGAGGCAGCGGCAGCAGCAGCGGGAGGACGGTGAAGGGGTGCAGCTGCCCGGCCGCCACCGCCTCTCTGGCCTCACCCAGCGCGACAGGCAGAGGCGGTGGCGGCAGTGGGAGGACGGCCAAGAGGCGCCGCGCAGCAGGTGGGGAAAGGGCTGGGCAGGCGCCACGGGGGAATCTCTCGAAAGAGGCCATGGAGATCCGCAAGACGGCTGAAAGTCGCGGGTAGAGAGGGGAAGCTTCCGAGACCTCCGGCGACCCCCCCAGGACTAATAGCGGTGGCAGTGGAGCAGGGCAAGGGGAGACCCGCCAGGCAGGAAAGAGGCATCCCGAGACTGGCCACCTGCGGCTCCATACCCAAGTTCTACCACCTTTCCAGCCATCCTCCCGGCTGTTCCTCCGCTGCCACCACGTGCAATCCGAAGAAGAAAGAGGTTTGTGGGCAGTCCCACAAACCAAAGAAGTTCAACCAATCAATTCAAACTTCGTGAGAAGTTTGAATTGATTGGTTGAACCTTTTTAGTCCCACTTTTTTTTTTCAGACTGCACATGGTGGCTGAGGACAGGGAGCCACAGGAGATGACTGAAAGAGCCACATGCGGCTCCGGAGCCGTGGGTTGCCGACCCATGCCTTAGGCTGACCGATTGCAGCTCCTTCATCCCTGCTGACTTGAGGTTCCCCTCGGAGCTGTTTCCCCTGGGGAGAAGAGGCCCCCCTCTGCCCAGGGGAGGTAAGCGCTCCTAGGGCTCAGAAGACCCTCAACATAGGGCAGCTGGACGACAGTTGTTTCTCTCCCTGCTTTGGCCACAGGAAGTGGACAGCAGGGCTCTGGAGATGCAACTGAGCGAGATCCACAGGAAGCTGCAGAAAATGGAAGCCGGGCAGAAATGTTCAACCCAGGAACCGGAGGCCAAGCAGGCCGAGGACAGGATGAGTGTCCAGCTCAGCAAACTCCAGTCCGATTTCACTGAGGACATCAAGGAAGTCAAGGCAGAGGTTAGCGCTGGTAAGGTGATCTGGGGGACACCCAGCCAGCAACAGGTGTCCGGCAGGACTCTTGGGGGAGGGGGTGGCAGAGGGTAAGGGGGCAGGCTCCCCCTAAGTTATGTTGCCAGGGCATCTCCCACTGCCTGCCTTCCTCCCTCCCTCCCTCCCTCCCTCCCTCCCTCCTTCCTTCCTTCCTTCCTACTGGTAGTTTCTGTATGGGCAAAGGGGGGGAATCCTCTGGGAAAAGGGTGGCCCAGCTGTCCCTATTCCCCCCCCTGCCAGGACTCAGCACCATCTATGAGAGCATCGGATCCCTGCAGCAGGTCCTGGAATCGAAAATGAAACTGGACAAGGAGGAGCTGCAGAAGCAGATCCAGCAGATGAAGTGAGGGGCCTGGAGCTTGCAGGTCCAGCAGCCAGGGAGCAAACCGCCCTCCTCCCTTTGCTCCAACGGGATGGACTCTTGCAGTCTGGGCCGAGCGGCTGTGGGTCATTTAGTGTAAATAAGAAACGCTGGGCGTGGCCAGACAAGCCTGCCCTTTGGAAGGGGAGCTGGACAGGACGATGGCCATGCCCTACTGGATCTCAGCTCCCTCCCTGGACTTTGGAATTGGGCTTCCTCCAATCAAGGGGACACCCTGCATTGCCATAAATGTCGGCGTGCCAAAAGATCTGGCCTCCTGAGCTGATGGAAGAGACTCCAGAATCCAGCTTGCTTCGCTTGAGCAAGACTGAGGTGGTTTGCGAGTGGCAAGTGGGTACCAGCCAGGCCAGGAAGTGCCACCCACCGCAGCCTCCCTTGGGCCAGATTTTTGCCCTACGGCCAGTGGCTCTCCGCACTTGACTGCTCCTTCGGCTTTCACCCCAACACCTGCCAGCCTTGAAGGTCTTAGGAGTGGGTGCAAGAATGTCTCTTTGGGGAGGCTGTAGCTGTCGCCCACTTGCACTTCCACATGGTCTGTGAACCCCACTCTTGCTCGGCGCCTCTCCCCACCGCTTCCCCCCAATTCCCCTACGTTTCGATCTTCTGAACGCCTCTGCATATCAGGACGACTCCTCTTCCAGCCCAGGTGCCCTCTGCCGGCTTCGTGCCCTCTGCCTCTGGCTCCAGTGCTACTGGCTTCCCTGCAGCTCTCGCGCCAGCCCGGCCAGCATCCCCTTCCTCAGATGCCCTGCCTCCCCTTCATGGGCATCTCAGCTGATCCCTGCCTCCCAGCTCAGTGGCAGGAGGAGGCCGGTCTCTTCCCAAGCAGGACCTGGGTTGCAGGTATGGCCAAGGCCTCCAGCCATGCCGGCCACAAGCCTGCCCCCCCCAAAGGCAGCCTCCCCTGCCCCAGCCAGAACGTGACCCTGCCGTCTGCGTCTCCAGGCTGAGAGAGTCTTCTCCTCTCGGCTGTCCCAGAGGACCTCCTGCCCTCCTCCACTTCAAGGATCCAGCCAGCAACAGGTACTGGGACCCCCTTAAACGGCTAAACTCTCTTGGGTTGAAACCCCCAGGCTCTCGCCCAGCCCCATTGGGCCTTTGGGGGTCCCACTGACCGGGACACAGGAAGGAAGGCAAACAGAGGGTTTTTCCTTCTGAATGCCGTGAGGCTTGGACCTCTCCCCAAAATGGCTTGTCCGGGGGTTTCTCTACAGGAAACTGTTGGCTCTGCCTTCACCTGGAGCCCATGTGTTTTTTGTACAAATCTTTAAGCAAAGTGGCATTTTCACAAATCACACTCCTCACTTCCTTACACCTCTTTCTCAGTGCATGTTCTGTCAAGGTAACATTTTGGTTTTATAACATCTGATGGTGGAGAATCTTGCTATGTTTTTCCTCAGAATGTTGACCTCATGCAGATATGAGCTAAGTGGGTAAAATGTAGAATATTGTAATGGAAAGTCTGCACCAGAACTAGATCCAGTCAGTGACATTTCAGCCCCTTCTCCAAATGTTTACCTGGGGTGGGGGCATTAAAGAAATAGAGGTTTAACCCTTTCCATAAAAGCAAAATGTTTAGCTTGGATTCCATCTGTTTCCTGCATTATAAGGACTGTCCTCGCGTTGCCTTGGGCAGCCAGCCCTAATCAGGCCTACATGGCTGTGGACATATTCTGACATTCAAGCAGGCTTGTTTAATTGGATCTCGTCTAGAAGGCCCTGGCTCCAATACCATGGCTATGAAACCATGCAAACACTGTGGCTCACCTAAGGGGGGAACGTTGCTCAAGTGTGCTTCTCATTTCATTGCAGAGATGTGGCAGCCCTGGCCGGCCCCCAAGACCCCATTCCTTGCACACGCTGATTGCCCGTGGAGGATGTGACCGAAGCCCCTTCCTCGCAACCAAAGATCGATCAGGAAGAATGTCCCCCTTATCCCCACTCGGCCAACTGTCCAGGGAACCCTCCCTGCCCACATCTGGCGCTGGCAGGGCCTGCTCCTGCTCGTGAGCCGACAGCCTGGGCAGTCCTCTGGCCAGCGAGTCTCCCTTTCTCTGGCATTGCTTGGGAGGGGGAATGGTTATCTGGGAATAGATGCAGGGATGAGGAGGGAAAGCTGGAGCTCGGTCAGCCTTGGGGCAGCCTGCTGGGACTTCCCAGAATCCTCAATTCCTGTTGGGGGGGGATAGTTGCATTTTGGCCTTTCCAGGGCATGCCAAGCCTCAGGAGGGTCCCATCTATGATGAGAAGGTGGGCACCCCTTCCTTCCTTCTACTGCCAGCCTGGGAAGCAGACGGTGTGGCTGGGCTCCAGGCTGGGAGCCTTGCAGGAGGCCCTGGGTAGCCCAGGGAGGGCTCCTGGGCAGCCTCTGTTCTGGCTTGCTCAAGGGACTGGCTGGCTGAAGAGGTGGCTGACAGGATTAGCTGGGCACCACCTGTATCTTTCCTCTGTTGGAAAGGCAAATTAAAAAAAATAATCTGAATTCATCCACAATAATCATGATGAGTAAATTTCTCCAGGTATTTCTTAAATGTCTTTGAGAGCAAATACATGTCTACATTTATGTAAATTTTGGCTGCTTAAGAGACCCACAAGATTGGCAAGAAGCCCAGCAGACTTTTATAAATAAGGGCTCAACAATTGCTTGATAAGTGTAAAAATTTTAATAGGGAAAAGGAAATATTGGGGAGGGGGGATAGATAGCGACATTTATAGTTCTCGAGGGTGTTTTGCTGTAAACCTCCGTGCAATTCCCTAGTGCTGCTGTGTATGAACCGCTAGTGGATTCCCCGGCCGGGGTGTTTGGTCTGAACTCTGTTGGAAGAATTTTTTAAGCGCTGAATAAAAGTGAACATTAACGCTCCGCACCCGCCGTTCTTACGCCACCGCCGGAGCGCGTGCAGAGGCCGGCAGCGGCGCGGGACGCTCGGCGGCTCCTCCTCACGGGTCTGAGCCGGAAGGGCTGGGGCGGGCGGAGCGAGGGGGCGGCGGCGGTGGGCGCGATGCCGGCGGAGGAGGAGGCGGCGGGCGGCCCGCGGCTGTGCGGCTATCTGCAGAAGCTCTCCGGGAAGGGGCCGCTGCGGGCCTTTCGCAGCCGCTGGTTCGCCTTCGATGCGCGGCGCTGCGCGCTCTGTTACTACAAGGGCCCGCGGGAGGCGCAGCCGCTGGGCCGCCTGGAGCTCGCCGGGGCCGCCTTCCGCATCCACGACCCGCCCGCGCCCGGCCCGGGCCCAGGACAGCAGCCGCAGCCGGCCGAGGAGGAGCGGCGCGCGGAGGAGAACGGCGCGCCCGGCACCGCCTTCGAGGTGCGCGGCCCCGGCGGCGACGTGGCCGTCCTGCGGGTGAGCGGCGGGGCCTGGCCGGCCGGGCTGCCGGAAACAGAGCGCCGCCTTGCTGGGGGCGCCGAGGCGGCAACTCCGCTGGGCAGCCGGGCCGCTTGGCGGGGCTCCCGCGGCTCCTGCCCGGCGTCCTTTCTGTGGCTGGCGGGGCGTCGCCCGCGCCCCGCAGAGCGAGGCCGGGGTCTTCGGGCCTTCCCGGGCGGGGATTGTGGGGGTTTCCTCCGCGCCTTTTGCCCGCGGCCCTCTGCAAATGCCCCCGGCCGGCTCTCACCCGTAGAGCCCGGCCCGGCCCATGGGGGCGGAGGGGCCGGTCAAGGAGTCCAGCCCCGCTCGGCCCCTGCTGCTGGCTCTGGCCTCCCTCGGGCTCCGCGGGACGAGCCCTTCCTCTCGGGAGCCAGAGCGCGGGTGGAGGCCCCGGACTTCCTGCCCGTGGGACCTTCGCTCCCCTTCTGCCCGCTCGAGGAACGCGGCCGGCTGTTGAGGGCGGCCTCTTCGTCGGGTTTGCGCAGCCCTCTTGGATGCAGCTGCACCGCAAGACCCGGGCAGGGCAGCCGCTCCGCGCTCTGGCTGGGCCGCTCCGCAGGGGGGCCCGGGGCTGATGGTGGCGGAAAGGGCTCAAGCATCAAAGCCGTCCCCCCCCCCGGCCATTCAAAAGGGTTCCCGTCTCACGAGGCCGTCAGCTTCCCGGCTGTCAGCACCTGCCTGCGGCTGCTAGGAGCAACTTGCTGGCCCCAGGAGCTCCGAGATTTCCACTCCAGCAGCAACTGCCCGGTGGCCATGAGCCTCCTGAAGCCCCAGAGGTCATCCAGGCCACATCCACAATGTCAGTTGTGGAAAACGGCCAGATCAGTGCAGGTGTCTGAGAGATACCTTGACTCCTTTCCTGGAGCAAAATTCTTTTGTTGAAGTCCCCAGTGCAGCACACATCTTAAAGAGTGGCAGGTGTCCAACAGGGGAAGTAAATCTTTGCCATAACACTGGAAACTCCTTCCTCGTGCTGTGGTACAATAGCTGAGTGATTGGCCCATGCAGCGGTAGGACCTGTCCCGGGTCATGGGTCAGACTAGATGGCCCCTGTGCAAAGCCAGGCGATGACTGCCCTTCTGGGCTGTCTGTGTTTATCCAGCGGATTGGAAAGCTGCCTCTCAGCCAGCTGACAGGCTGCTGTTGCTCTGATCCACTCCTCCTCCTCTTCGAGGTCTGTAACTGGCTGGGCTGCCGGCTTCTGTCCACCACAGGCTGCCACGCATCAGGACATGATGTACTGGCTGCAGGAGCTCCAGCAGAAGAGGTGGGAATATTGCCACAGCCTTGACGCTGCCAAGCGGTACAGCCGGACGTCGCCCACCCCTGCTGGGTGCTCCAGGGGACTGGTGGCCAAGGACAGTCCTGGTAAGTGATGCCATCTCTTCCTGGGGCTGAGCACTGGGGCCCCTACAAGTGGACAGTGCAGGAAAATGGCTTGGCAGATGAGGTCACTGCTGCAAGTTCCACGTGGTAGCGTGTTGCCTTCACGCTGGCTTCGTGGTCCACATTTGGGGGCCAGATAGGAGGGAGAAAAGGCCTTTCTCAAAGTAAACCGTGGAGGCTCCTGTCATGCGGGCCAGGCGCCACATGTCCGTCACAAGAAGCTGCTTTCCTTGATTTGGTGATTTTTTTTATTTTCCTTTTCTCCACAACAGGAAGTATTTATTTAAAACTGTTACTTTAAAGATAATACATATTGGAAATTGTGGTTTGTGTATGTATGCCTGTGCGTGCATGCGTGTGTGTGTACACACACATACACATCAACACACACAAACAGCCAGCTTTTTGTTTTATTTTTGTTTTGTTGGATTTTTAACTTCAAGAATTATATTCAACTATTTTTTTAAACTGAATTCTTATACCTAATATTGATTTTTTTAAAAACATACATGAGACAGTATGTTTACATGCGTATATTCTGTTGAGTATCCACTTGCAACAATAACGTCATTCAAGGTTTCCCCCTTTTTAACAGCCATGTTTTTAAAGAGGTGGGCAGTAAATGCAACTTGCGGCACCCTTGTGAGTAGTAAGAGAACCATTGTTCGATTGGCATTTGCTGGGTTGCTCTGATTAGACGCCTGTTTCTGAGGGTGATGGAGTGTGTGTGTGTGTTTGTGTGTCTCTGTCTCCTGTTGTCAGTGCCCCCCAGCAGGCAGTTCTTGCAGCTCCAGAGCGGTTGTGGTCTGGAAGAGAGAAATCGGCTAAAGTGGGGAGGGCTGCCTTGCACTTTCCGTCCTCGAGGAGCGAAGGGCAAATCCGGCTTGCAGACGTCCCTGCCAGGCCAGAAGAGCCAGAAACTGTCCGTCTCTTCCCTCCGCAAAGCTCTCAAAGCTGCTGCTGCAGCAGAAGAGCCGGTCCTGCCCTTCTGGCTGGCTGTGGTTTCCTCTGGGGAAGCCTGTGCAAAGTTGCAGGAAGCCACTTCAAGCCCCCCCCCCCCCGCCCAGCTTCTCCTCAGTGAGCAGAGAAGCCGAGCCTGGGATGGTCACTGTGCGGGCAGACAGGCTGGGGAAAGTCTGGGGGGGACGGGCAAAGCCTCCGTCAGGGAGCACCCAGGAAGGAGCCGCCCCTTCCTCCCGGGCCATCTTTGCTGCACCAGAGAGGAACTGTAGGGTGGCCGCACTGCTCTCCAGGGCAGAAAGCATTGACCGTTACACGGGACCGGTAGCAGCGGGAAGGGCTTTGCCTAGCTGGGCGTGTGCTGCCAGTGCTGCTCCTATGGGGAGCTTGGAGCAGAGAGGAAGTGTGACTGAGGCGGCTGATGAATGCATCTCCTGCGTTTCCTACGACGGTCCTCAAAGAGCCGAGGGATCAGCAGGCTCGACTGCTCCCCTCAAGGCCACCGTCGTGACATGCCGAGCCTCTTGTGACTGTTTCCTGAAAGCCTCGGGGTGGAAGTCGGTTGGCAGATAACCGGTGGGGTTGCTCTTCCTTAGATTGCACGGTGTTGCCAGCAAATGCTTCAGCGGAGAACGCCCGCAACATCCTTGCCGTTGAGATTGCCCCCACGGAGCTGGTGGGGGAGCAAGCTGCCTGCCTGCCCGCCCCGGGCCACCCCGGCCCCATCAACTTCTCCTTGAGGCAGCTGGGCACCGAGATCAGGTGAGTCCTGGCAGAGGCCGCTCGGCTCTTTTGACTGCTGCTCTTTTCCGGGGGCCAGTTTGGATTTAAGGCTGGCGGCACTGAAGCGAGCAGACCTTTGGAAGTGGCTTCCAGCAGCCAGATCCCCCCAGCTGATGTAGCATATTCTGAACTCACTCCCCTGGAGAAGACCTGTGAAGTGCAAGGGCGGCTCTGTTATGCTGTCACCCTCAAAGCGCCTCACTGGACAGCAGCCCCTCCCATCCAGAAAAGAGTGAGGAGGAAGGGCCACCACTCAACCAGACGTTCAAAATGTGGCCAAATGAACTTTTCGGAAAATAAGCGTGGCATGGATGTAGGGGGCCTCTGGCAGGCGAGCTGCTCCCACTTGAGCTCTCAGCCACCAAAAGCCTCTGAAATGGCAACCCCCAAATCCAGCCACTTGGCTAGAGGCTCCCTTGTTGCACCTTTACAAAAGCCCCCAATTCCCTTCCCCCAATCCCCATTGGCTCTGCACTTGCTCTGGGGAAAGCTGGGGCCCCTGCCCCGCAGAAACTGCCCGTCCTCATGCCAGATGCTGGAGGACACAGCTTCTGCCGCTGCTGCCCGGCCTCCAACTGGCTACAGCTGGGGAAGGCAGGCAGGCAGGAAGCCTGCGAGGTGGCCTGGGAGGGTCTGAGAAAGGATCCGGGCCCTGGTGGCCAACTTTCGTAAGTCAGATTCTACTTCCTGTGTGAGACTTGAGTTCCTCCTTGCGCTTTAGAAAGGCCGGCCCTGCCCCCGGGGCTCCCGGGTTTCTGCCTGGAAAAGCAGCCCAGCCGTCTGTGGCCACAGTTGCTGCAGGCGCCCGGCAAGTGGACAGCAACTGCAAAGGGAGAGGCATTTCCTACCCCCCCCCCCCAAATGTGCCTTTTTGTACTTTCCCTGTCGGGCATCTGCCTGCCACGAGCTTCCCTGTTTTGCTGATCCTTCTCACAACCTGCCCGGCAGTAAACCCTTCTATGGGGTAAAGCAAGGCTGGATTTTGCAACTGGGCCTTCCTCGTGGCTTGGGGCAGCCACGTTGAACCCGCTTTCTCTTGGGAAGGACAGAGAACGTGGGACAAAGGGGGGGTCTGGGGAACTCTCCCTTGGAACAGAGAAATCTGGAAGTGCCCTTGCGCTTCAGTGGCTTCCTTGGGAATGTGTGTGGTTTCTCAGTGTGACAGAAATCGAACTGCTTTGGAGCAAGGCAGGAAAAGTCACCGGCTGGCTAGAGCCGGCATTTGTCCTTTTAAAAGCCCTTTTTTTCATTGGGGTCCCTATCTTGCTTACTTCCTCACCCACCCCCACTGGTGGCAAGTGGAAATTTGATGCAGCCGAGTGGCCGCAGCTTGACCATAGACAGCTGGCCATCGGAGGCCCAGGCTTGCACCGTTTCCTGCCTGCTGTTTGTGGTTTAGCCCAGAGAGGCCGGAGGGTGAACAGCAGGTAAATCCAGATGTTCTTGTATTTGATGGTTGGGAAGGAAGAGCAGCAGGACCGGTGAACTTGAGCGTCTTTCTACGTGGCACTGCCAGAGGGCAAAGAGGTGGAGGGAAAATGTCCTGTCCTGGACCGCTTTTGAAGCCCAAAGAGGGAGGGGGAGGGAGGGCACTCTCTGGGCACGAACGTTCTCCAGCCGGCCTTGGCAGCCGCTTCACCTCAGATGGCGAGAGGGCCTCTGCTTCAAGGCATGTTTGGCACTGAGGGAAGCCGCCGGGTTCTTGGCTTCTGCAGCTTTGTGAGTTTTATTTTTTTTAAAAAAATCAGCCAACTTTTCTTTGCCCTCCCAACCATTTTGAACTTCTATACTTTGCAGAAATTCTGTGTCTTCCTTAAGAACCGGAAAAGGAAGTGGGGAAAACCGCAGGAGTGTTTTTTACACAGAAGAATGGGAAATGCTGGACCCCACCCCAAAAGATCTGCAGGAATCAGCGGCTCAGGAAGAAAAACGAAGGCTGGCAGCCGAGACCAGCAAAGGTGCCCACTGCTGTCCATTGTTCCCCCCCCCCTTTTCTGCTCTTGCAGAATCATTCTGGCTTTGCAGACTTTGGGGGGGCACTTTGCTCCCTTTTCTGAGCAGAGATCCCCAAGGGTGGCAGGATCCCAGGTTGGCTTCTGTTCCCTTGGAGTTGGAAGGGCCAGATTGGGGAAGCGGTGGCTGCAACAAGTGATCCCCCCATTCTTATTGGCTATTGCATTGGAGACCCTCCAGTTCCCTCCCATCTCTCCTGGGAAGTTTGGGGTCAGTGCTCAGCACTGTTAACTTCGATGCCTGGTTTGCTAAGGAGAATGAAGAGGAGACTTCTCTGTCTCCTTGGAGGGATGGATGGCTCGGGGGTCTCTGAATTTGTCCAGGGGTTCTCCGTATTGCTGAACCGGCCAACCTTCTGCCCCCTCATCTCCCCTCCCCCATGCTGCAGGTGGGACCGGCTCAAGCTTCCCCTTTGACTTTGGCCGCCTCCCGCACAAGGCCAGGCGTCCCTTGAAGGACAGCATGGCTGCCAGCAAAGGCCGAGGCAGCCAGGAGGCCCCCCCTCGGGAGTGGAGCAGAGGCCAGCCGGCCGCAGAGATGCAGCTGAAACTGCAGAGCCAGCAGGAGGACCTGGAGCAGCTGAAGACGGAGCTGGCCAGCCAGAAGGTAGGCAGGCGTGAAGGTGGGGGCGGCTTTGGCCACTTGCAGTGGTGGGGAAGGACAGGATGGCGCCTGGATCGGGGGGGGCTCACCCGCTCGCCCGTCATCCAGGCCTGGCCGCCCTCCAGGAAGCCCCCGGCTGGCTCTCGCGCTTCCTTCCTCATTTCCTTCTGGGGCCCGAGGGGCAGGAAAGCCCGGTCGGGCGGGCGGCAGAGGCTCCTTCTCCGCTGCTTGTTTCCGCAGCCGCTTCCTGCGCTCAGTGCAAAGTGCGACAAGGGATTGGCTTCCCCAGCATTGGTTGCAGAGCGTGACGCTGGCTGGAGCTGAGCGGGAGGGAGAAAGGGTGGCCCCAGGACTCTCTGGAGCTAGTTTCCACAGTGAGGACTAGAATCTTGTTCTCCCCACTCCTAGTCTGGAGCCTGAACCATGAGATCACCCGGCTTTCTCTTTAAACAAGCAGCAGCAGCCTTGGAGGAAAAGTGTGGCAGCGGATCCCCAGGATGGGAGGCGGGACACATAGGCGTTTCCTGCCTTATCCGTTTCCAGGAACTGAGGGGGCACTTGGGGTGGAAACAGGAGGTGCTTCTATGCCAGGGGGTGGGGGGGACCAGGCGTGTGTGACCCGGGGTGAGACCACCAACAGCAGCACATCTAATGCAGCACGGTGGCCTCTGCGAATTCCCCTCCCATTTCCAAATGGCCTGCTAGTTTCTCCCCCCCTCCACCTACCTTCTCGCTTCCTCCCAGGAACTGGTGCGGCTCCTGCAGCAGACGGTCCGGTCCTCCCAGTACGACCGGTATCTCGCGGGGCCCCTCTGCGACGGGAGTGCCAAGGGCCACTTGGAGCTGCTTCACCAGAAAGACCGCCAGATTTGGGGCCTCAACCACCAGCTGGAAAAGCTGAATCTGGACAAGGAGCACCTGCAGCAGGAGGTGGCCAGCCTGAAGTCCACGTTGGGGGAGCTGGGCGAGCAGCTGGACATGCTGATGGAGACCATCCAAGCGAAGGACGAGGTGATCATGAAGCTCTCCAGGGAGCTGAGCGAATGCGAGTCGTCCTGGCAAAGCGGAGCCCCCCCTGCCGACGCCTCCCCCCCCCTCAGCAAGGAGCAGCAGGAGCTCAGCAAGCTGAAGGTAAGGGCCACGCTTGCCTCCTTGTGGCCTGGGTGACTCGGGGCCTTCGCTGTCCCCCCAGAGCCCATCAGCCCATCTGGAGGATGGCTTGGATGAGGAGGAGAGTGTGGGTCATCAGAGGGAAGAGAAAATGGGGGGCTGATTTAAGCAGCTGCAGCCTATTGGTTTGGCCACTTTCAGCAAGCAGAAGGAAGGCCTTGCGCAAGAGAGATGGGAATATTTGGGTGCTTGCATTGTGCAGTTGTGGTTTTATTGACCACAATTTCTTAGACAAACCACAGTTGGCTACGTGTCCGTGTTGTACCAAGCCGTTCACAGTGTTTACTCGCTGCTCATATGAGGTGCTGAGCTGCACATCACGCAGATTCGCTTTGGGCTTTGAGCTCAGAAGCCCTGAAGCCAAGGCTAGGGGGCCAAACCCTTTGCAGTGCCACCTTTCCCCTTCCCTGGGTGGCAGAAGCAGCTGCCCCCCCTTCCCTCTTTCAAAACACCCCGCCCTGCGTGAGTCTCCCAATGCTCTTTGTTGACAGGACAGCCTGCAGGGTTACAAAACCCAGAACAAATTCCTAAATAAGGAGATCCTGGAACTTTCTGCTTTGCGAAGGAATGCTGAGAACAGGGAGAAGGAGCTGATGGCGAAGGTCAGCCAAAGGGGCAGATGACGGTGAAACCTCCCCCACTTTCAGGCCCTCCGAAGGGGTCAGAGCCACTGACAGGTGACCCATTCTGTGGGGGAGAGACCAGAGATTCGCTTTCCAAGCTGACCGGTTTTTCTGCCTCCCCAAAAGAGGCTGACTGACCACAGGCCATGTTGTTCTCTTTGTGGTGGTTTAGGGGCCGCCACGTTGCTGGGGTGGGGGGCAGAGCGGTGCTGGGGCAGAGGCTTCCCTCGGCTTTCAGGTTCAGGCTGTCTGGTGCTGCTTCCCGCCTCAGCCCCCCCCCCCCCGCTCGGTCTCCCCCACGCAGCACACTAGCCTGGAAGCCCAAATGTGTCAGGTGGAGAGCAGGTACCTGGTTCTGCTGCAAGAGAGGAAGACGCCGGTGTGCTCGGAGGAGCCGAACCCCGACAGCAACCTGGTGGCCCAGCTGCTGGAAGACGCCCTGAAGGTGGACAGCGGTGAGCTGCCTGCACAGGCTTACTTCAAGCCCCACATGGTCAGGTGAGGCCCGTCCGACCCTCGGCTTGGGGTCACCCCATGGGAGTGGCTCAGGGAGGGAGACGTTGGCCCAAACAGAGGCTCTCCCCATAGCTCAGCCTTCATGTGAGGATGGCCAGAATGGTTGCTGGCCACTCTCAGGCATGAATCCTGGGCGCTTCTCAAGCTGGCAGCAGCACCCTTTCCCGCACTGGACAGGGGTGGAGCTGAGCTTCACATCTAGCTTTATGCAGCCAAAGGATTGGAATTCCGCCTAACTAACCGGGGTGGACAGGCCTGGTGCCTTTTCTAACCCTGGACGCCAGTGGCGGCTTTGGTGACTTTCCTGGAAAGTTTTTCTGCTTCTGGTGGTTCTGGCAAGTGACCGGCTCCCTCTTCTTTCCAGTGAGTACGACGTGTATGGGTTCCAGACAGTCCCGGAGGACGAGGAGGAGGAGGAGAGGCTGGTGGCGAAGGTGCGGGCTCTGGACCTGAAGTCCTTGTCCCTCACGGAGCACCAGGAGATGTCCACGGGTGTGAAGTGGGAGAACTTCCTGGCCGCCACTGTGAACAGGGAGATGGTCCGGTCGGTGGAGCTGAAGAGCCTCATCCGGGGCGGGGTCCCCCACGAGCACCGTTGCCAGATCTGGAAGTGGTGTGTCGGCCTCCACGTGAAGAAGTTCAAGGAGAGCAGCCCCCCCGGCTACTTTCAGAGCCTGCTGCAGAACGCGCTGAAGAAGCAGAACCCGGCCTCCAAGCAGATCGAGCTGGACCTCCTGCGGACCCTGCCCAACAACAAGCATTACTCCTCGCCCGCCTCCGAGGGCATCCAGAAGCTGCGGAACGTCTTGCTGGCTTTTTCGTGGCGGAACCCAGACATCGGCTATTGCCAGGGGCTCAACAGGTACGCAGCCCTTCCAGGCCAGCCAGGTCAAGAAGATGGGAGTCCCAGGAAGACGGCTGTACTGTGGTGGGATGTGAGGGGAATGAGGTCTGGGTGACCTGTCCACGTTTTTCTCCATCCCACCCAAGTTCCTCCCTCATGCTTCCTTCGGTCTCGGGGCTGTGCACTCTCTTTCCCCCCTTGTTTTGCTCCTTCCTTCTCCAAAGTCCACTCTTGGATTCGTTTGCGAGGTAGGAGGCAGGCTGTTCAGGAATGGGTCCCCCTCTCTGTTTCTCCTTCCCAGGAGAGGAAGACCTGCACCCCTCGGCTGCGTGAGAGAGCAGGTATGTCTCGCTTGCCTGGCTCTGCGCCAGCAGGCACTTTAGGGTGGCGCTCCGTGCTTCATAGGCCCCAGGAGGAAATGAAAGAGGTTTCAAAAAGCTACTGTTCCTTGCAGGAGCTGGCTCTGGCTTCTGCCCCTGGCTCTGTGAATGTAGCCCAGTTTATGGTGGTCTGAATGACCTTGGGAGATGAGGAGACGCAGCCTTGGGAGGGCTGCCTGGAGGGCCCAGCAAGCGGCTCAGGAGGGACCCTAGTTTCTCAGGCTGTAAAGGTGGGGAGGGAGAGCTGCATTTTCAGATTTGCAAAATTTTGCTAATGTCACCTTACCACAAAGTAGAAGTCGCTCGTCTGCTTGCGTTTCTGCCTGAAAAACTGACCTGCTGCATGGAAGAGCTTTTCGTTGGAGGGGAAGGGGGGGAGTGAGCAAGAGGCACAAAGCCGTCATTTCCTTCTTTCCTTTTTGAACCCTTTTTCTGGGGTCTTGGGGCGCCTGGGCGTCAGTCTTTTGCTGGGGTCACCTCGAATGGCTCCACGACTCTGTGGGAAGCGCCACTCCCGGTGTGGTCTCTTTTCCAGACTGGCAGCCATTGCTCTTCTCTACCTGGAGCAAGAAGATGCCTTCTGGTGCCTGGTGACCATCGTGGAGGTCTTCATGCCGCGGGACTATTACACGAAAACACTGCTTGGCTCTCAGGTATGTCTGGGAAGAGTGCTCAGGAGCTCTTGCCAGAGCTGGTGGCCATGCCTTGTGGCTCTTTGAGATGGGGCAAGTTGGAGAAGAAGTGGTGCTCCCCCCCCCCCCGAACAGTCTGGGGAAACCCTTGGAGACGAATGGCCCAGGAGAAGGAGGGAGGGAGGCCTTCAGGATCCTTCTGAAAGCCCCTCCCCAGGAGGGCTGCCTTCCAAGGCTCCTCCTCCTCCTCCTCCTCCAGGTGGACCAACGCGTGTTCAAGGACCTGATGAACGAGAAGCTGCCCCGGCTGCACACACACTTTGAACAGCACCGGGTGGACTTTTCGCTCATCACCTTCAACTGGTTCTTGATCGTCTTCGTGGACAGCGTGGTCAGCGACGTCCTCTTCAAAATATGGGATTCCTTTCTCTATGAGGGACCAAAGGTAGGCCCCTGAGTGGAGTCCCCGGGATCTTCAGGGCTTGGGAGGGGAACCTTCCGGGGGCTCGCTCCCTTTTGTGACCAAAGCTTCTTGGATGCGCAGGTGATCTTCCGGTTTGCTCTGGCCCTCTTCAAGTACAAGGAGGAGGAGATCTTAAAGCTGCTGGACTCGACGTCCATCTTCAAGTACCTGCGGTCTTTCACTCGCACTGTCCTGGACGCCAGGTGAGCATGTCTGGTTTGCTCTGCCATTCACAAAGGAATCAATCAGACGCTATTAGAAGGAGCTTCTGATTTTATCTTGTATTGGAGGAAAGAAAAATTGAGTAAAACAATGTAAATGGTGCCATAAAACGGGTTTTTGAGCCCTGGGCTTCCTCAGGAACTTGATAGGGTTCCAGGACAGATTAGGGGCAAAAAAGGGTTGCTCAAACCCAGCCCAATTTCTGTCACTGGAGCTTTTGATCAGGGGTTCCAGCTGCAGGGATCGTTTCTTTTAATTAAAAGATTCACAGAGGTGGAAAAGTTAGCACTTCCCTGCAGTGACACATTTGAGTCTGCTCTTTGGACGGCCCACAATGAGGCCTTTCTGGTGCCTCCTCCTCCTCCTCTTCCTCCTCCTCCAGGAAGCTGACGGGCATTGCCTTCAGGGACCTCAACCCCTTCCCCCTGCGCCAGATCAGGAACCGGAGGGCCGTCCACCTGGAGAAGGTGCGCCTGGAGCTGCTGGAGCTGGAGGCCATGCGTGAGGACTTCCTGCGCGAACGGGAGACCCACCCAGAGAAGAGGGACCTGATCAGCGAGGATGAAGAAGACGGCTGAAGGGACCTCAAAGGACTCCTTGGGGGTGGGGGCTTTTCCACAACGCAGAACCTTGTGGGGATTTGAGGACAGCTTTACAAGTCCAGCGTTTCACAACCGAGGCGGATCCTGCTCAGATCGTCATTCAGTGTACCCAGCACTTTCATTTCAGTTGCACAGCTGAGCTGTGAGTGTTTTCCTGCTTTTCAGAGCCTCTGAAGTCCTCCAGACACAATACTGAAAGGCCCATCGTTTTATGCCAAATTCGTGGTCTTCAAATCATCCCATTTTGGAGACAAATTCCTTGTGGTCTTAAAAAAAACGAACCAAGTTGCGGTAGCTTTTCTGGGGCTTCGGAGACATTCTGCAGGTCCACCGCTTGGCTTTCCCACCTGGGGAAGTAGCAGCAGAGAACTGGAGGCACCTTTTGGGCCCTGGTCCCCATCTCTGTTGGAAACAACATGGCGACCAAGAAGGTGGTCCTTTCCCTGGTCTGAGGCTCTCAAAGGTGCCATATTCCTCTGCAGGATGGCCGGCCCCGTCCACACCCAGCAGCCCCGGCTGGACCTGGCACCCGCCTCCCTGGTCCTCGCAGTGGGAGCCTGTTGTTCCACGGAGAGCAGAGGAGCCCGAGAGCAGGTGCCTGAAAGTTCCCGTTGGGGAGCTGGGGGACAGTTCATCCCAGAAGAATCCAGTCATTTCATTCAGGCTTCCTGCCTTCCTTGCATACAGCTTTTCTTCTTCAACAACCCCTCCCCCCCTTGCCCCTCCAGAGGCATTTCTTGGGGAAGCGATTCGGAGCCCCAGTGGCCAGGAGGATTTGCCTGCTCATGACCAGATCCAAGCCACTTTGGGGGCAAAGAAGGCGCCCCACAGCCCAGCGACGATTTGGGAAAGACAGAATCCAGGTCCAGTGTGGGCATTTGAATACCTTGCACTTGAATCCTAGTCTAGTAGGCCAATCCTAGGCTATAATAAGGTGGCAAAGGAGGAGGGTGAATCCTCCCTGGTGGAGTTTTGGCTGACTTGTGGCTACCTGGATTAATGTTAATGTGCTGGCCAGTCCGGTGGGTTTCCTCTGAAAGGGGGGCTACAAGGGGTACACCAGGTTGTGTGATGAAAGGGTTCCTCTTCCGCTCTCTTGCAATGGAACCCAACGGGCTGGACGTCTTCATCATCTGGAGGCTTTCCAGACTGCCAACACTGAAGGGAAAGTTGAGGAAAGGGAGACGGCAATACACACACCCTAACGCACCCCTTGGCAGCTTGAAGGTGGGTAGACTTCCACTCCCAGAATTGCTCTGCTGGTTGGGGAATTCAGGATGCTGATGTCCACCCATCCTCAAGCTGCCAAAGTTGAGAAACACTGAATTTCCAAATTTTCAGGTCTCAATTCCTGCTATGAGGTTTTCCTTTCTTTTTATAAAGAATCCCAAACTCTGCTATGTACTATATATACAACGTATTTTATGCATGGTGTCAATTCAAGCAGAAAGTAAACCCCCCTTCTACTTTTGCAGTTTGCACAAGCTTCACAGAGATCCAGTCCATTTTTCTGCCTTTCTTGCTGGAGGCCCTAGATAGAATGACCCATCCCCTTCCAAGAGGCCTCTTCCTCTGGAGGAGGGGTCCAGTATCCTGCTGAGGGTGACCATCACAAGACTCACAGCAGTTGGAACTCCCGGCACAGATTCCAGAAGATTGGGGGGAGGGCAGGAGGTTCTCTTCTGCATAGGGTGACTGCAGTCAGGGATCCTGAGAGCTCTTTGGGGTTTAAAATCCCCAAATTCATTTGCCAAATTTTTGCAACCTCTTGAAAATGGATCATTTATTGTCTTTGATTTTTAAAGGCTTTTGATCTTCATTCCTGTCTGGTTTTGTCTGACCAATCCCAACAAATAAATGCACACGACCACCTGCTGCCGTTGGATGGACTTTTCTGTTTGCGCCCCGGAAGCAGAGAGGGCTGCTCTCTCCCGCAGCTTTGGCAGACAAGGGGGTGGCACCCGTGGGCCGACAGAACGCAGGCCAGGAGGGGCAGAGGGTGGTGAGTCCCATTTTCCGTGGCAGGCGAAGAACCGATGTGGCCTGCAGGGGGAATTTCCGCTCCTGCTTGGATTCCGGCTCTTCACCCCTGACCCGGGTCAGCCTTTGCCATTGGGGGTGTGGAGGGGCGGATGCCCTTGCAGTGGTCAGTGAGTCCCGGTTGAGTCCGGCATCCATCTGAGAGCGTTCCCTCTCCTTCCCAACCGGCCTCTGTCCCATCAGACAATCTGCCCTGCACAATGGGCCCATTGGGGAACAATGGCAGGCTGGGAGCCCAATGATCCTGGGGGCACTGATGCAGGAGAAAAGGCCCTGCTGCCTCTCCCCTCTGTGTGCAGGCTCGGGGGGGGGGGGGGGGGGGNGGGGGGGATTTTCTGGCTAAGGCAAGAAAGGACTTTTTCCTGTTTTGCCTTTTACCTACAAGCCTTCCTCCATTTCAGTTTGCAGCTGTTGTTATGATGGTCAGTCCAACATTCAGCCAGATATTTAGGCTGGATCTGGCATTTTTGTCCACTTGTTGAGGCCTTCCCTAGCTGCCGGCATAAGCAGATGTGGGTGTTGGATGGCAGCGGTTCCAAGTCAAGCAGCCCCTTAACTGTTGCAATTTTGTCAATGCCCAAGGCGTTCAAGTGGTGCCCCGAATATTTTGGGATCCAGCCTTTTACAGAGAGAGGGAGGGAGAGGGAGGGAACTTAAGCTAACCTAACCCTAATGCCTGCTATTTTCCCCATCACAACAACCCTGTGAAGTGGGCAGGGCTGAGAAAGTGACTGACCCAGCTAGCTTCATGCTTTGTGGGGGGGCTAGAACTGGCCAGAACCAGAGGGAAGCCGGCTTGATTCAGGTCAGGACACTTCTCTGGTTGATGACCAACCTGGTTTAATGCTGGCTTAATCTATTGAATTAAGTAAGGAAGGAGTGATGGAACCAGCCCAAGCTTTCTGCCGTTTCAAACTGAACCGTTCTTTAGCCTTAAGAACGTCTGTCTAATTCATAACCTCCTCAGGACTGAAACAGGAAGACGTTTTAGAAGAAGAAATGACTCGTTAAACCAAATTGCTTCTCTCGGGGGATTTCAGGCTCAGCCTTCCGCTCCTACGAGCCTCTTGCGAGCTCTTCTGAGAATGTCACTTTTTGCAAAAGTTGTTTGACTTTATGATAAGCCCCGGAGGGGAGCCAACATCCTTCCGCCCCCATCCCGGCTCCTCCCGAGCTCTCCTCGGTTGGGAGCCGGGGGATCCCGGGGAGGGCCTGCATCCGCTCGGACGGGGCTGCCCCAGAGGGGGCGAGGGGCGCTTCGGCCCCCCTCCTGGCCCCGAGGAAGAGCCGCCGCTCCCCCGGCCGCGAGGCAAGGCGGGGCGGGCCCGGCGGCGGGGAGGCGGCCGAGGCTCGGCTGAGGCGACCCCCGCCCACCCGGGGCTCCTGGCCGGGCCTTCCGCGGCGGGGCGGCAGGGNAGGTAGACTGGCCGGCGGGGGCGGGGGCGGGGGGTGGGCAGGTGCGCCGGCCCCAGCAGGGCAGGGCGGGCGCGAGGAGCGGAACGGAGCGGCGGAGCATGGGAGCGGGAAGCCGTCGGAGGGGGCGAGGCGGGCGAGCTGCTGAGCGGGCGGGGCTGCGGGGGTCCCGGCGGGGACGGGCCGCTTCTGCTACCCGGAGAGCCTCCCGGGCGGGCGGAGGCGAAGGCGCCTTTCGGCTGCTCCTCGGAGCGGGTGGCCGCTCTCCAGGTCTCCGCCCCCCCGCGTGAAGAGCGGGTCGGGCACCACCCGGCGATGCAGCTCAGTTAGTGGGACTCCCGTGACGCCCGGTGAGGTCGGGTGCTGCTGAGTTGGCGGGTTGTCCGGGAAGCCGAGTGAACAAGGGAGCTCCTGAAGAGGGCAGAAGAGAAGCCCCCGCCCCCCAGTCAGGTAGCTGCCTCTGTGGTGTGGCCGCACCTGGGCAAGATGGCAAAGGCCGGGCCCTTGGCTGACCGGCCGGGCGCTCCGAGGGGGAGGCGGCCGGCCTCGCTTCTTTCCAGGAACGGAAGGTTGTTGGGTTTGTCAGGTGTCTCTTTCCTGCTTGGCTTGTTCCGTTTCATTTTGTCTGCCTCCGAGAAGGAGCTGATGGTATGCAAAACTCTTGTGCTTTGAGAGTGCTGTGTGAACGGTGCACATGGGCACCAGCTGCCACAGCCTTGCCCAGGCCCTTCGGGGGAGGGAGACGTCTGCCCCGGAGCCCCTTGGAGGAACCTCAGGGTCTTTCTGGTGCTCTGCTCCCACCTCGGCCTAAGTCACCACCATCCCTTCAATTGGTCACAACAGGCTGGACTCAGGCCATCCTGGAGCCATGAATTGTGGCCAGATCTGGTGATGTCCTGTGCCTGAACCAAGGAAGACTTTGGAGGCTTTGCGTTCTGCAGGCTCTCCCAGCATGACATTACGGGGTTTGTACCCTGCAGACTGATGGGAAGCGGCCGGGGCTCCCCTTGGAAGGGCTGGCCTGGAAAGGAAGCAGAGGCAGCTCCCCAGGGAATCGTGGCTGCGAAAGGGGAAGGGCGGCTTTTGACAAAGGGGCAGAAAGGAGCTGCTCTCTCTTGCCCAGGCAGCTCTGCCGAAGCGGAGATGATCTCAGAAGCAGTTAATTAATTTCATTATATCTTGACTTGCAGTAATCCTCCAAATATTGGCAAGGCTGCTCAGAGATCTGGTACAGCCTTTTGCCCGCCGAAGCCCTAATTAATTTAGTCTGGCAGAGATTTTGTGGGCTGAAGCCATCTCCTGCCAACAAGGTCTGTGAAATGGGTTGATCTTGAAGGGCCCACCAGAAGGAGAATCCGGGTGCCTGAATAGCAGAGTTTTCAGGAAAAGAATCCCAGCCCTAGGGGGTTTTCGGATCCCTTTGAAACTGTCTCAGGGGAGTTTCACCCTCTTCAAAGGGCATCTAAGCCAAGGCGCTGTTTGTTCCTCCCAGGACTGATCCGAGTTCTTCCCCGGTCCCTCCTTTGGCCTTAATTGCATTTTGGATGCTACAAGGACATTTTCTCCACCAATTCATTTGTCTCTCGCTCTAGGTGGGCCTTTTGCTGCTTGTGGCTTCATTTTGGTTCAGCCAAAGATAATCCCAGGTGTTCTGCTGGGGTTTCAAAAAGTGGATCAGACACATTTTAAGGAGATTAGAATAAAATCCCCCTTTTAAGGCGGCTTAAAGGATGTCGTCCCCCAATCTGGCTGGAGACCTTTTTTTTCTTTTTTGGTAGAGATCCAACAGATCAGAACATCCCATCTTCCCCTGGGTAAATTGGGGGGGGGGGCAGGCAGGTAAACCAACGGGGTTATGTTGTGCTCAGTCAGAACTGAGTCGGGAAAAGGACAAGGAACCCGGGGGTCTCAGGAGAGGGATCTGCACCAATTATGCTGTTGCAGGGGGAGGCTTTGCTGGATTAAAATCATCTTGGCACAAACACCTGATCCTTTGGAGGCCCCGCACCTTCTCTCCCCCATCTTGGACAGGTTCCTTCAAATAGGCTGCTTAGATTATCCCCATTTTACAGTGTGAAAACTGAGGCTAAGTAAGAAACTTTTCTCCCACTAGAAAGCTTCAGGAAGTGCCCAGGAAAAGATTCTGCCCATTCTGTTTTGTGGCTCCGGCCTTTCCCACTGTACAACCAGCAGCCCCCCCAGGGCCCGTCTGTCCAGCTCTCTCCCCGAAAGCAGCCTTCCTTCCTTTACAAGCATCGCAGCTTCTCCTGGGCTGGGCTCTGCCTGTCCCGGTCAGGGGCGATTCGGGAGACCCTGGGAAAGGAAGTGGGCTTGTGCCGAGGGTGGGCCAGGGTTCCTGCTCCTGGATGTCAGCTTTAGCTTCTACCCCAGCCCCACCAGGCCAAGCTGTGGGGCAGCCTCCGTGGGTTACCACATGTGCAGATAAGTTTGGGTCCCACGTAAAGCAGGCCACCATGCACCTATTGTACCAGTCCACACTTTTCTGACACTGAATTGTTATGACGTGTAACAGTCAAGAAAATTAAATCTAAATGGGAGCCTGATCTGCCGTACATGGCCTTAAAGTCTTGGCGGAGAGGCTGGAGGGAAGTTTAACCAAAGGCAGACAGAAATGAGCGGATGCTTAAAAAGGCTGTTTATTCTTTGGCTTTGCTTCCCAGCTTGCAGAGCGCAGAGTCCAGGAATGGCCGTGTTTAAGCAGCAGAAGGTCGAGGACCTGTACGAAATCGGGGAGGAGCTCGGCAGGTAAGTGAGCCCAAACTTCCCTTTTAGTCCATCCGGTTCCAGCCTTTAGTCTCAACTCAGTGACTTCTTCGCTATTGCGTTTCTGTGCCACGGAAATGCACCTTCCAGAGTGGGCTTTTAGGGGGTTGCTGGTAGAGGGGCTGCAATAATAATAATAATAATAATAATAATAATAATAATAATAATAATAATAATAATAATAATAATAATAATAATAATAATAATAATAATAATAATAATAATAATAATAATAATTAGTACCCATTGTCATCGGGGCACTGGGAACTATGTCCAAAAACTTTGCAAAATATTTCAAGAAACTGCAGCTTCCTGCAATAACTCAAGCAATGCTACAAAAAACTGTGCTACTCGAAACATCTTACATTTTAAGGAGGTACCTGGTTGAAACCTAGAATGCTGCCAGCAACCCGTGTCAACCATCAGCGCCAGTCAATTTGAATGTTTAGTTGACTGAGGTTTACGTCTAATTAATAATAGTAGTAGTAGTAGTAGTAGTAGTAGTAGTAGTAGTAATAATAATAATAATAATAATAATAATAATAATAATAATAATAATAATAATAATAATAATAATGATGATGTGTTGGAAGGGACCTTGGATGTCATCTAGTCCAACCCCCCTGCTCAGGCAAGAAACCCTATACCATTTCAGACAAATGGCTGTTCAATCTCTTCCAGTTAAAGGGAGAATAATATTTGTCTTTGTTGAATGCTGGCTGGTCCATGTAGAAAGCTTTTGGATTGCAAAAGCTTGGGATGAAGGTCATTTTTGTCTTACTGAATTCTTGCCTGATATTTTAACACTTGGGGTGTGTGTTAAAAGGTGCATGAAATACAAATTCAAAAGACATTAGCTCAGCTGCGTGATCGCTCACCCATGGTCTTGCTAGGCAAAGATGGCAAGGCATGTTCTCCTCATGTGGACCAGGAGCACTTCTAACATTTGGGGTCTGAGGGTATCAAGGAGGACCCAGCATCAGAAAAACGCCTGCGGGTGCCTGGTCTCCAGGAACAGCAGGGACGAGCTCTTGGCTGCCTCCTCCCTGATTCTGCCAAGGGAGCCTCTGAGGGGCAGCCGCTCCAGGCGGTGACCGCTGTGTCTGGCCAGCGAAGGGATTGCCAGGACCCTCCCGGGGCAAAGAGGCTTCCAGCCGGCATCTGACAGGGTTGGGAAGTGGGGTGACTGCCCGCCTTGTTCCTTTGCACCAGAGAAGGAGGCTGCCTTCTCCTGGCACAGCAGTCGGCTCAGACGCTTCCGAAGCAGCCCTGCAGCAGCCCCGCCTGGCGTGGGCCCCCGAGCCCAACCTGCCTCCCCATGGAGGAAGTGTCCCCAGCAGGGGCTTTCTCTGGGGCAGCGGCCGGTTGTTGCTTCTTGCCCACAATTGGCCTGGCGCTTGGGCGCTTGGGACCTGTTGGCACTGCTGCCAGCTTTGTGTGCCTTTGCAAGTGGTGGAAAGAGGAAGCTGCTCAGGGCATGAATCAAAGCTTGTTCCAGTCACGTAATTTCCTGAGCCAAATGGTTTTGGAATTGCAATTCTGGCCCAGTGCAGATGGCCCGTCCCCTGCGGGTCACTAGCTGACCTCACGAGAGCCATGACAAACCTGGGAAGGGACTGAGGGCGCTCCAGGTGTCCCCCAGTTGCTTAGGACTGTGATCCCTTCAGTGATGCCCAGATAGGCCGCCACGTGGTCAGCCAGTGGCTGGCGGAGACTTAGCAGCCTTTGGGGCAGTGGCTCCTCCTGGGTGCTCAGCGGCCGATGGCTGGACCGGGCAGTTGGGATCCACAGCACTAGGATTGTGTCACCTAGAATGGCCCTCGATGTCACGCTCCTTAGTTCTGTGGGCAGCAGCCATGCGAGTGACTTCATGCTTTACTTTGAACGGGTTCCGGGCGGTGTTGTTTGCAGTCAGAAGATGGGTGTGTCATTGTTGTGGAAGACTTTGCCATGAACAGTTGACCCAGGGATCTCCCCTTAACTCAGAAAAAGAGATTCTGTTTTGGACAGATCAGGCTTGTCCTTGTGCGACCAGCTCAGACTTTTTTGACAAAGGATTCAGGAGGTGCCCTGCAGATCCTGACAAGCAGAGCCCAAGTCTGCCCTTCATTTCTTGGGTGAACATCTGTGCCCTGCTTCTGCGACAGAGAATGTGGCATAAATGGGAGGATTGGGGAAGGGCTCTCGGCCAGCCTGCCCAGCTCTCCTTATTGCAATTAAGGACTGGACTTCATACTTCCGAAAATGAGGGATGGGCTGTTGCTTCCCTAGTTCTTTTCCAAGAGGTGGGCTCCCAACCCTCTTGCCTCAGGAAGAACCTTTGGGGGCTGGGAAGCACTTTCTGCCCCTGGCATCCTGAAGTGGGTCCCGGTGAATAATCAATTAGTTGGAAGGGAGGATCCTGATGGGACAGATCCCCTCCCCACTCAGCCCCAGAGCCATTTCCTCCCCCCCCCCAAATCGCCTGCAGGGGAAGGCCATAAATTTGTCAGAGGGCCCTTTGAACCCCAGCCGGGGAAGTGGTGAGCAAGGCTGACCCAGCAGAGGGAGGAGGAGGTGGCAACGGGGCCCAAGGTCGCCCTGGGCGTTGGCCGGTTCCTGAGCCTGGAGCCCTGTGCCAGAAGGAAGCTGAGGGCTGCTGGCCTGTTGGGCTGAAGAGCACCGATAACCAGGCAGCAGTCAGAACACTCAGGAAGGCTTTCCAGATGCGATGGGACTGCACTTCCCATCATTCCCCCTTGGGAGATTAAGGACCAACCCGAAGAGCCTGGTTTCGGAGGCTCTTACATTGATGGTTGTTGAGACAAATGGCTGGTTCTGAAGAAGCCCCCGTTGGGCGCTGCATTAATGGACAGGGGAGGCCAATCCAAAGTACGGTTGGCTCTCATCAGGATCCCAGAGAACAGCCATTGTGCAAAAGCGGATGCAAATGAATAATTTGGCGCCCAGGTGAGGCAGGAGCACCTGGATGAGCTTTGTGCCCCACCAAACAATGGTTGGGCGTATGTTGAGCAGGCTGATTCTCATGGGTGCAGCCCACATCAGCCTGGCCGGCCAACCCAGGGAGTGGTCAGTGACTTGCCAGACCCAGGCCTATCCCAGGAGAAAAGGGGGGCGAAGAGCCAAAGGTGTCTGCGCTCCACTGAGAGATGCGCAAAGAGCCCAGCGAGCAGGTTTCGGCCCCCGGAGCCTGTCCAGCCCCCCCTTCCCCTCCCCTGCCCCTCCTGGTGGAAAGGGGGCCAGCAAGCGAGCCGACTCAGCCGGGCATCAAGTGTGAGTCAGATTTGCTCACTTCAGCTGAATGTTTGCATTTCTGGGCTGGTTCTTTGGAAATCGGAGTAGGATCCTGGCCTGGCATTTGGCCCACAAAGTGCCCGTCCAGCCTCGCCAGGAGCTGCTTTGCTGTGCTGCCGGGCGGGTCCCTTTGTCCCCCCCCCACGCCCTTTTTCTCTTTGGAAGGCAGCCTGTCTGGACAACAAAGGGCACCTTGTGGGCAGCCTTTGGGCCAATGAATGGACTGAAAAAAGAGCCCCCCCCCCTGGCCTCGCTGCTGCTGCTTCTCTGGATCTGTGTCAGGGAGGGAAGAGGCCACGGCCGGCCGGCCTCTCCTCGAATGCCCCTTTCCTGAGGTTTCCTGGGGGAATCTGGGGGCTGCATTCCTTGCCTTGCAGGTCTTGGCTTTTTAAAAAAATGCAGTGTGTTACGCGGGAGGGGCAGCCCCTCCTTTCTCCACAGAAAGCCCCCCCATGCCACAGGATGACTTGGGGCCTCTCAGCCTGGCCCACCTCGCAGGGTGTTCTTCAGGGGATGAAATAAAGGGTGCTGCTTGGCCCCCAGAGGCAGCTCCTGTGTTGCCCGTCGTCCTTCGACCTTTGCTGCTTGGTTCCGTCACCCTCCACAGTCTGCCTGTGGCTCCCCCCCCCAGTGACCGGCCTTCCCTTTTGCTGCTCCTGGCTGGGACCTCCGAGTGGCCGCCTCTCATTCCGGGCAGAGCTGCTCTGGCTCCCTGTCTATCTTTAGCCTCTGGGAGGGTCATTCCGGCCATCAGGAAAGGCAGCTGAGAGGGGGGGAGCTGGGGGGGAAGAGGAGGCCGGCTGGATCGGCTGCCCACCCCCACCAGGCCTCTTGTGCAGCAGCAGGGAGCCTGGCTGGCCAACCCTGTCCAACTTTGCAGAGTCCAGCCAGGGCACCGAGGAGAGCCTGGGGGGGGGGCACGATGCCTGGGGACTGCTCAGCTCAGGGGGCTCTGATCCCGAAGAGGGGATTTCATTGTGGGCCCTGGGCTGAGCGGCAGGGGGGGGGGCAACCAGCAGTCTCACTTAAAGAGGGACTAATTGATCTGGAGGGTCCCTTTGACAGACGAGCTGCCCAAGCAGATTTGCTGTAACAGGCCTGGGAAACCTGCTTTTGGGGGGCTGACTGACATTTTGAAAAGCAAAAAAATAATAATACAACTCTTTACAATGATGGTTTCACCCCACCCCATGCTGGGGTTCGCAGCTACAGTCCGACTTCACACACACACCCCGCCGCCTTTCCTTTATGGCTCGGCATCATGTACGAAGCCCTGCCATCTCCTGAAGGGGGGCCTCTAACCTGGATAACAGGTCGCATCGTCCCCAACCGGCATAGCTGGGCAAAGAAGCCTGTTTTGCAGCGTGTGAATGCTCTCCTGCTGAGGTCATCTGGCCAGTGTAAACAGGGCAAACAGCTGGTCACTCTCCTCCTGCCACCTGGGGCTCTCGGACGGGCTCTGGACGGTGCCACCAAGTCTGGTTGCAGCTGCCAGTAGAGGAGACTCTCCCGCCCCGCCCCCCCACCCAGGCTTCCCTGCCCAACTTTCATCTCTGCTTTTAAGCTGAGCATCGCTTTGGCCCAGCCGGAAGCGGCTTTGGCCCATCCAGCTCTGAGCAGCTGCCTTTGCTCAGCGTCGGGGCTCTTAAGGCGCATCCAAAAATACCCCCTGTCCGTCATGCCCAGCACGTGACGTGACCCTGATGTTTAGATGACATGCCACCAGCAAGGGCTGCATTCTCGCCCGCCTGTCATTTAAATATGCTTTTTCCAGATCGGATGGGATTGCAACCTGGGTCTTAAATGCTAAGAAAGCTGAAGTTCCTCAGTTTCAGACAAAATGGGGTGAGTCTGCTTTTTCTGAGCCAGAAAGAGCCCCCCCCCCATTGCTTATTCTCCAGAGGCCACAAAGCCTAGCGCCATCTGGTGTCTCAGTTGCATCACTGCACTATCCACACAGCCAGCTCCTGATGGCTCTCAGTGAGTTGGAGCACTCTGAGAAGGGGTTGGAGGGGGCCTTCTCTTGCAGCGGGGGGGGAGGGGGGGCTTCGCGTGCACTCTATCCTTGACAGGGTTCGAGGAAAGATTGGTGCAGCTGCTTCCTCCCTCTTCTGCCACCAGGTCTGTGTTCGGGTTCCACTCCTTTTGAGCTTCAGAAGAGCAGCGCCCAGCTTCCTGCAAGAAGGCCCCTTGAATCCTCTTTCTTCACACCTGGAGGGGAAGAGGGCTTGGGAGAGCCCCCTCCCCCAGACACTGGAATTGGCTCATCTGGTCTCTTGGCTTTCTGTTTCTGACCTTGGAAGGGAACCGCCAGCGGCATGCCAGATGGGCAACCTTGGGCCTCCGATGGCCGGCGGTGCAGGAAGGCTGCCCCACTTGAGCCTGGTCAGCAGTTGCATTCACGCCCCTTTGGGGGGCGGCTTGAGATGCCCCTGGGCTCAAAGGTCCCACTTGATGGGGCTTCGCTTCTTCCAAGGGTCCATCCAGATTGGCCGGAGTCGCCTTTCCACTCCCCCGTCCTGCCCCCCAAGGGGAGCGTGAAGCAGGGAGGGCAGAGACGTCTGGCGGAGGAGCCCAAAGGCCCAAGGTGGCCGAGCAGCTCCGAACGGCTCGGAAACGACCCTCCAAAGCTGGACAAGAAGGAAAGACGACAGGAGGGGGGATTCTCTCTGGGGTGGGTTTGCCCCGAGCCTCCCCCTGGGCCCCCCAGGGCTTGGCACAATGTACAGGTAGTCCTCGACTTACAACTATTCATTTAGCGACCATTTCAAAAAAAGTGGCTTATAAACAGTGCTGGCACTTACGACTGTCGCAGCATCTCACAGACGTGTGATCAAAATTCCAGCGCTTGGCAACCGGTGTGTATTTAGGACGGTTGCAGAGCCCCAAGGGGGGGGTTGTCATCTGGTCGCCCTTTGTGCCCCTCCCTGCCTTTTTCTGACAAGCAAAGTCAAGGGAGGGGAGCCGGGTTTGCTTAACAACCACTTAACAGCGGCAATCATTCGTTAACAAACGGGGCAAAAAAAAAAAAGGTTTCAAACTGGGCATCATTTAACAACCCCCCTGCTCAGCAGCAGAAATTCTGTGCTCAGAAGTTGCGGACTGCCCGTATTCTGGAATTAGAAAGAACCGTCCCTCTGTCTGGAACGTCTTAAGAGGCTCAGTCAGGGCAATTGGACCCAAGCTGATTAAACCCGAGACACTTCGTTGCTCCTCCAGGAAGCCTCTGCAGCCGCACCAAGAATTCTGGGTCGGCAGGGAAAGTCGTTGGAAAGAACCAACTCTCGCCCCACCGACTGCAGGGGGTGGGGCAACGTGTAAGTGAAGATTCAATCACCCAGGCCAAAAATGTCTCAAATGGACCAAAGTTGATTAAAAAAAACTTTCTGACTCTCTGCCTACCCAAATTCTCATTTTGACTGAAGAAGTTACTTGGATGAGTACCGAAATGTCCCAGGTTTAATTTTGGTCCAGTTGCCATGATTTAATCTTTTAAATACTTTTGGCCTGGATGACTGAATCATCATTTGCATCTCTGTTTGGAACGTTGTTCTCCCTTGTCCAGCCCTCCTCCGGCACCCATTTCCTGTAACTTGGCCGGCGGGGATGGGGTGCATTCAGGAGCCTCCCTCAGCTTCCTTGACCGGATCCTGCCCCACCCCCTCGCTCCGGATTAACCCCGTCCCGTGGCTTTGCTTGCAGTGGGCAATTTGCCATCGTGAAGCGGTGCCGGGACAAGGCTACGGGGCTGGACTACGCGGCCAAGTTCATCAAGAAACGGCAGAGCCGGGCCAGTCGCCGTGGGGTCCGGCGGGAGGAGATTGAGCGGGAGGTGAACATCCTGCAACAGATTCTGCACAGCAACATCATCCAGCTGTATGAGGTTTACGAGAACAAAACCGACGTCGTCCTTATCCTCGAGCTGTGAGTAGGGGGATCCGTCAGGCATTGGGGTTGGTCGGTTTCCCCTCTCGGAGGAATCTTTGGGAACGGCGGAGCACATGAACAAGGAACTATTTCACTGTTTCTCAAGCTGGGGCCTTTAAGATCTGTGGACTTTCTGCTGGCTGGAGAATTCTGGAAGTTGAAGTCCCCAGATCTTAAAGTCCCCCAGCTTGAGAAACACCGACCTATTTCATCAACACAGAGGGCTGAGAATCTTCCAGGTCATGAGGCGCTTCTGGGTCTCTGCTGTCTTGTTTGCCTAAAATAAAAATTAAATCTATCTGCAGATCAGTTTAGGGTTTCTGCTCTGCTTATCAGTATTTTCCATTCACACAACACACAATGTGTTGAGCCACAGTTTTTTTCAAACCTGAGTGGCTAGATTCAATGGATCTCAAGCCAGAGGGCTGAAATCAAACAAACCACAAAGTGCCCACACATAGGTCCTCATGCACAATAAGCACGGATGCGCCCTGTTTCTTGTTTGTTTCTAAACCCAGTTTTAATGAAGTGAATATTATTTGAACAAGAAGGAAACTGTTCCAGGTTGTTAGTTCAGAACAAAGACGTACTTTCCCAAATGGAAGCTTGGAAGCCAGAGCTATGAGTGCAAACTAGAGATGGATGCACAGCCCCTCCTTTTAAGCGCAAAACTCCAAGTTACTCAGCCCTTCCAAGTAAATATGGATTCTGCAAGTGTTGAAATGCTCAGAGAAGATCTCTAGAAGCCTGGATCAATGCTGAGTGCCACCTTGCTATAAACTTCACTGACTTAAACATAGTGTAAATTCCTGCATCCGAGTTTTCAGGTCACCATTATTGCTGGATTTTGACAGAATGCAAAGTAAAATTGTGTCTCTTGTCACAATTATAGATCTGTCACACAGCCCAGTTCTGCTTCAGGCAAGAACATTTGGGGGCATTTCTGTTTGCTTTGGTGATTCTGGGGCTAAAACGCACTCTCGGAAGTGTGTTGTTGTGTAGTTCATTTCCCAGAGGGCAGAAAGGACGAGAGAGCAACGTAAGCCCCGAACGAGCAATGTGAGCCCCGAACGGGAGCATGAAACAGCAGCCCGATTTGAGGCAGGAGTGGGGTCCTTCCGGAGACTCGTACTCACAGGAGGCTGCCGGTTGGGGGGGTTGCAGAAGGAGCCTCGGGTTGATTGGGGGGGCAGCACATCCGGACAGCGGAGGCCGGGTTCGGTTGAGGAAAAAAGCAAACGTGGAAGTTTGCAACTCGATCCTTCTCTGTGGAACAAAACAAAGTCAATAAACGAGAGGCGCCTCATCGAAATTATGGCATCTTCACGGGGAGGGGGAGGCAGCAGCCATTTGCTGAAAGGGAAGCCATCTTCCAACTTTTCTGGGTGTTTCTATGAAACGGCTCCTTTTAGGGCATCTGCTAACCCAGGGAAGACAAAGGAAGGCATCCTGGCTGTTCTCCTGCCCACAGGCAAGATTTTTATGTGTTATTCCCCTCGTGGTTATAATGTTATTTCTTTTGGGTTGAATTGTCAGATAAGCAATGAACGTGTTGGCAAATGACCAGTGACTGCAAACCACTTCCTCCCCTTATTTCGCAGAGTCTCCGGAGGGGAACTTTTTGATTTCCTGGCCCAGAAGGAGTCACTGAGTGAGGAGGAAGCCACACAGTTCATTAAGCAGATCCTGGATGGGGTCAGCTACCTGCACACCAAGAAGATCGCCCACTTTGATTTAAAGGTGAGGAGCAGCTGCAGCTAAAGCCCTTTTCCTGCCAGCCAGCCCGCCCAGCCGGGGGTGCAGCCTCCTGAGCCCCACTTCAACCCACCTTCGCTCCCCTCCCTCCCTCCCTCCCCGGCTCAGCCTGAAGGTTGATGCTCTACTCTGCTCTGCTCTTTCTCATCCCGAAGCCTGAGAATATTATGCTGCTGGACAAGAACCTTCCCATTCCTTACATAAAACTGATCGATTTTGGTCTGGCCCATGAAATAGAAGATGGAGTGGAGTTTAAAAATATTTTTGGGACACCAGAATTCGTAGGTAAGTTGATGTCCTTTTGCCCTTACTCTTGCGGCTTCATCCTTGTTAGCCGTTAGTCTTGGACTCAAGAAGAGGGGCGAAAACGCACCCCTAAACTCACCCAGGGCCTGGGGTGGCAGGCCCTCTCAGTCCAGGACCCTGCTACTGTCTGCCAGGAGTGCAGTTTCCTTCCTAGCCGAGGATGATGGGTCCTGGCTGTCTCTAACACAGCGGTTCTCAACCTATGGGTCGCGACCCCATTTGGGGTCGATCGACCATTTCACGGGGGTCGCCAAGCAAGGCTGTCCGCCATTTTTTTCCCCTTTTCCGGTGGGTGCCTTACCTCCCTTGAGCTGGGCCAGCTGGTGGTCAGCCTGCTCCGTCTCTGCCGCTTGCCAGCTACGCCTCGGCCGGCGCAGGGGGCGGAACCACGCATGTGCGGCGCTCCCGGGCAGGGAAAGTCCTCGACTTACGACCGGTTGGATAGTCCTCGACTTACGACCGGTTTAGTCCTCAACTTATGACCGGTTTAGTCCTCGACTTACGACCGATTGGGGGTCGCGGCATTAAAAAGGTTGAGAACCACTGCTCTAACACATCTGGGAGGCTTCAAGTTGGGGCATGCAGCCTTTGTCTCTCTGACCTTGGGGTTCACTTTCTCCTTCCAGCTCCAGAAATCGTAAATTATGAGCCGCTGGGACTGGCAGCTGATCTTTGGTGAGTCTTTTCTCCTATGCTTGCTCTACCTCCAGCCTTCTTCCTTAACCGGGTGTCCTTTGGTTGGGCTGCCGGCAGGCTGGTTGTTGGTCCAGCTGATTTCTGTGTGCTGGATCGGCCTTTGAGAACAAATCAGGAAACAGAAGACAAGTTTGCTGTGTGTTTGTTTTCCTACTATCAACCTGACTGAGTAATTGATTTTAGCATAAATTTGTGGGTGTTTTTTTTCCCCTTTCCCCCCAGGAGCATTGGAGTCATCACTTACATATTGTAAGTACTCAATTATTAGTTTCCTGTATTTATTCATCTATTTATTTTTATCTGTTCCCTGCCATTTTCAATCCCACATTTCCTGCAAGATGTGCAAGGTGCAGTCAGTGCCCCCTCCTCACTTTATCCTCACAATGGCCCTGCTATAAGATTAGCCAGATTGAGAGGAAGAAACTTGTCTAAGGAAGCTGGTGGCAAAAGTGGGGGCGGATTCCATTCCCTCCGTCCCTCCTGAGAAAGAGGTTGCAGAGGCACTCGGAGGGGATGTCTTGGACAGGAGGTAATTATGGGGAGGGGAGGGGAGAGAACGACCAGAACTGAGTTGTAAAAAAGAACAGTGTGAGGCTGTAACTAAGTATTACGCAGATTGGATGGAGGTGCATACAACTAATTATTGCAATTAAAAACATTCTAATAGACTAGCAAGGTAGCGGAAAGTAAGCAAATGAAGAAGTCAAGGTTGGCCCCACAGGCGTCCCTGGGCAGGGGAAGGAGAAGATGCTCCATAAAGGGGCTGCCCACTTTTTGCTCAGTCACCCCAGCAAAAAGCCCAAAGCTGGCCAGTGGAGCAAGGCCACTGGGAATCCCTGGCAGCAGTTGCACAGGCTGCTCACCAGGTGGCAGTGTGGAGCTGTCCATGATCTTGGGAAGGCTGCAGTCAGCTGGAGGAACTTCTGATGCCCATCAAGGGAGGGTGGCTTTGGGGGTCTCTGGCACGGATCCCCCTCACCTCCCACCACACCCCCCAGCAGGCTGCCATTCTTCCCTCTTCCTGGCTTCTGTTGTGTGCACCCAAATTCCTATCAAGGCAGGAAGAGGAAAGATGGCTCCTCATCTGGGCTGGGGGAGGGGCTCAAAAAGGCAGCCCTTCCTCCCTCCCTCCCTTCCTTCCTTCCCTCCTCCTACTGAGCCTTCCTGGGCAGCACAAACACTTATCTCGGTTTTATAACAAGATTCTCACTGGGCCCTTTCTGCCCATGCTGTTTGGCATCTTCTGTCTCCACTGGCCCTGCCAATTCCACTCCTGATCCTCTGGCCCTCCCTCCCTTCCACCCACCCCCAATTCCCCATGCAGGCTCAGTGGTGCTTCTCCATTCCTTGGGGAGACGAAGCAGGAGACGCTGGCTAACATTACTGCCGTCAATTATGAATTTGATGAAGAATTCTTCAGCCATACCAGTGACCTGGCAAAAGATTTTATCCGGAAACTTTTGGTGAAAGATACACGGTACGTCCTGAGCCACTTGCCAGAAGCTGGCCAGAGTTGAGAGTCCCACGTCTAGCCCAGGAGGTTTCTAGATGACCGCCAAGTCTGAGAAGAAGCTGGAAAACTTTTGTGGGCTCTAAAGATGCCTCATTGGGACTCGTGGGAGGAAGGGGGGGGGCTGTTCAGCGTAATTTGGCTTAGCTGCCACAGAGTTGAAGGGCTCTGCTTAATGGAGCTATCAGAGAACCTCCGAAAAGGAAGAAATGGACATTTTTGGTGTGCTCTTCCTGGCCCCCTAATCTAAGAATGAATTTCCCAAGAGCACCTTTATAGGTGTCAGACTTGCCACTTCAAAGTAAGCATAGAAAGTGCATTGATTGCAACTCATTGTAGATAAACAGGTTTATGACTCTCCCCCCCCCCCCATGTGCTTCCTGGACTCCGTCTGTTTAAACACAGGGAGGCTCTGGATGATCTTTCTGTGGGTGGAGGAGGGGTCTGCCCTCCATGCTTCTGACCGGGAGCTCTTTCCCACAAGGGGGTTTCACTGAGGTCCTTCTCCCCTTTTAGGAAACGACTCACAATCCAGGAAGCTCTCGGGCACCCCTGGATCCAGGTAAGTCAAGAAGGGGCCTGGAGGCTTTGCACTGGATGGGAGGAAGGCATCCATGTCCTGCTGAAGTTGGACAGAACTTTGTATGGCCCTGCCTATTTGGGCAGAGAAAGCCCCCCAGTTTCATACCCAAACCCCTGGTTTTCATCATTCAGCAGCACGGGGGTCCATCAGCCGCTCCTTTGGGGGGAATCTTTCTGTTTACTGTAGTTCTCTGCTACAAAGCCTGCCCAAGCTATTTCTGGGTTCCTGTTCAGAGGAAGGAATAAAGCAAAGTAATCAGGCCTAGCTTTTTTAAAAAAAAATTCTTCTCTTGGACATATTATTGTTGTTGTTGTTGTTATTCCATATTTGAGATACAATTTTCTGTCCTGGCACACACTGAGTTGTCCGTACCCGTCTCTGCTGTTGGCATGAAATGAAGCAGTTTGTTATTTCGGCTTTGCTTGTTTGGCTCTTTCTGAATGTAAAAATCCTTCCATCCTGCCCTTCTTGAAGTAAGCAATACCTTGAAAAAGAAAAAAAAAAAGAATCACCCTGTTGCCTGTAAGAGCAACTTTCCAGGAAGGACTAGGAGAAGGAAGACCCGCCTCAAGGATCGCCCCCCTTCCTTGGGGCCTGCATGCCAAAGCCAGAAGGGGCGTCTTGAGGTCAGCATTTCCCAAGTGGATTTTGAAAACTCCAAACCAATTGTAGAATATCAAAAACTTATGAATGCTGGCAGTCATATGTAAACTGATCAGAATTTTTATTTTATTTTTGGATATCCATGAAATGAGTTGGCACAAAATTCACTCTTTGCTGGGCATCTCGTGTAAGACGGGCTCTGCCCCCCCGGCCAGCATTTTCCCTCTCGGGACTATCAGAATCAAATGCTGGAATTTGACTTTTCCTATGCCTCCCTCTATAAATACTCATCTGGCTACCCCAGAAATGATTCTGTTTTTACAGAGGTTGGTTCAGAGATGTGTACAGATGTTGATTTGGCACATAGTAAGGTCATTTTCCTTGTGGGAAAGCTGCTGTTTCACAAATAGTTTGCAAGAAAGATAACCAAATGCATAAAGAGGAGAAAGGACTTGCGCTTGCTTCTGGCACCATGCACGTGTGTATTTGCACCCTGGTTTGGTGATGTTGATGTTGTGGTGTCTTTAGACCCTTGTGGTGAGATGTTCTTGGTCCATAATCCCCCTCCCGGCTTCTCTCCAGTCCAAAGAAGGCTCCAGAGCCCAAGGCCACAGGAGGAGTGAGCCCCGGCCGCTGGAGACCAAGTGGCTGAGAGATTACACCATCAAGAGCCACTCCAGCATTCCTCCAAACAACACCTACGCCACCTTTGAACACTTTACCCGCGTGGTGGAGGTGATCTCTGGCATGGAGAGGAGCTTTGGCGCCCTGGCAGCCTCCCACGACACCTTGCAGGGGGACATAGACGCCCTGGTCTCCATCTACGATGAGAAGGAAGCTTGGTACAAGGAGGAGCATGAAAGCGTGAAGTATGAGCTTTCCCAGCTGAAGTATGAGCATCGCAAGATCGGATCCTTGAAGAAGCACCTGAAGGAGGACATCCAGGCCGTGGGCGCCAACCTTGCTGGGGTCGCAGGGAGGTACCTCGGCCTGCAGTCGCACTACGAACGGCTGAGCAAGGAGCTGTCGGAGGAACTCAAGTGGGTCCAAGACTTAACGGGCAGCTTCTGGCCTGAGGGCAGCCCCCAGGGCCACGCGCCAGCCAGCTTCGGCTGCGTCTTCCAGAAGGACCTCAACGACTCGCTGATGGAGCTGCTGAACAGGTCCTGCTGTGAAGAATTCCTGGCGGCCTTAAACCTGGGCATGACAAAATCCAGTCAGTGATGCTGCTGAAAAGAGAAATATTTATGCTGTTGCTTCAGACCGAATTGGTGAGGAATTGCTTGGACGGGAGCTGCATGCTGAACTCACACATTTGGGTTTATTTTTGAACAATGTTATTTGACAGACCCTTGTTACCACTGTATTTTTATATTTTTTTTCCCCTCTGTGAAAATCGATCCCGATGGAGATGCCTTGGGTTCTGGATGTTGCCTGCCTTGGTTGGGTTCCAATGAATTTCTAATAAGGCCTTGCATTTTTTCTTATCAAAGCTTGCCCTATTTTTATCCTTTGGAAGATGGCCTTAGCTTACCTTCGCAACTGAAGACCTCCTCAATACTTGACTGTAGATCAACATCCTTAAAAGCTTTTATTTATTGCTGAGGCCGCAGTAAAGAGGCATTGATTTTCTTTCATTTTGAAATTCTGTATTTTTTAATAGTGGAGCCAGATGTGAAGTCTATTGCGCTCTGCAGAGCATTCTCTGCAGGCTTTCTGGCTGAAAGTCAGTCTTGTGAATATGTTGGAAAATAAATGGAGGATTCCGAATAAATTTGCACAGATCCCTGTCACCTCACATGTGCTGCTGCGTAAGGCAGGACCTTCAGCCTGGACATTCATCCCAATTACGCATAAATAAACCACTTCCTCCCAGTTAAGACATCACATCTCTCTGTAATGTGAGAACTGAATTTTTTATACAGACAATTTGAAAATGAAAGGGCGTGGAAGATGCAATTCTGGCTTGCTGTTTTGCTGCTCTCCTTCAGAGAGCCTACGTTCGTTCGGCCAACTCTGCAACTAATCTCGGAGAGCGAGACCCAATAAATGTTTGTTTAATGCAGTGTGCTTTCTAGACAAACCTTTTGTTCAAACACCCTGAAGGATGATCTTGCCCCTTGTGGCAAATTCTGCTTGGACGTTGGAGACGGGCCTCACTCAGAAATTATTTCCCTCTTAAGTGAAAAGCAGTTTTACAGCTGCATGCAAAGGAAGGGGAGGGGGAGACCTCTAGCAGATAAGGGAGGAATTGTGGCTGAAGGGGGGGGGGCTCAGACATCAGCTGCTTGATGGGCTCTCTTCTTCTCAATCCCATGAAGCTACAGAAGGAAGCTCAGGTGTAGTTGAGGGCCTCCTCTTTCCATGTCCTCTTCATCTTCTCAAGCCTTGAACCGAAGCAAATTTCTCCCTGGGCCTGAAGCCAACTTTCAACTTAGTTTCGTACTACTTTTTAATGTTTATACACCATGCAAAGTCTTATGGAGTTGGGTAGCAGATACAGTAAATAAATAAAAACACAGTAAGTAAATAAATCTTTGAGAAAGCACCTTGGTCAGCTGTTTCTGGTTCTTCCTCAGCCAAGATTTATATCTCTGAATCTGGGCAAAATATTTGAATCTGTAGGACTGTTAGGGCAGGGGGAAGGGTACTACGATAATTTTATACAGAATATTTAGTGTTTCCAGCATGTTACAAGAACAAGGCGATGGGTCTTACTCTAAGGAACTTGAAGACTAAAATCTAACACCTGCAAAGGAAGGACTAGAGAGAAAAAAGGTGAACAAGGCCGAGATTAAGAAAAAAGCCAGTCTTAAGTGTGAACCAGGCAAAACCCAGAGCTTTTGTGCACTTTCTGCTTGATGGGCCAAGGAAGGCCCGGCCTGATCTTGTCGCCTCTTGTCTCCAGCCCATGAACAACCACCAAGCCATGGTAAGGAGGGAATCGGTCGTTAACTTGGAGAACTTCAAAAAGCAGCACGCCAGGAGGCGGTGGAAGGTAAGAACTTGAGATGTGAGAGTAGGGAACAGAAATGGAGACACCAAGAGCTCCCAGGGAGTCCATGCCAGGCCGCTTCCCTTGTGAGCTTGTAAAGGCCCTTCCTTGGGGGAGAGCTGGTGGCAAGGAAATGGCACGAATCCGAAGAGAGGGTGGAGGGGGAGGATTTCCCTGGAGCCCCAGAGCTCAGGAGCCGACTTCTCCAGCCCACCAGGCTGGCTCCTGCTCCTGGGAACCTCCGGCGGATGCTGCCTCTGGGTCCTGACTGGACCGGCCAGAGCAGGCCTTGAGGCAGGGCATGGGCTTCCTTGCCAGGGGTGCCCCTCTCCTCCTCCTAGATACGTTTTCTGCTGCCTCGCTGCAAAGATGGGGGTGCTTCTGAACTCAGCCTTGTTGGAGAACAGCCTGGGTTGCTCCTTGTCCCGGGTGGCCTAGACTGAGTATCCAAGGGAATTTTCGGAAGAAGGAACAGAGGCAGCTGAGAGTTGGGGAAGAACAAGGCATAAACCTTCCTGGTGTGGCTTTGAGGTGGCCATCTCTAGGAACCTGATTAGTAGCATGAGGGTGTCCCTCGTTTTGGCTTCCGGGGTGTGACCAAGTGCCTCTTTCTCCCCAGCTCACCTTCAGTATAGTGGCTCTGTGCAACCATTTATCTCGCTCGCTGGTGCGAAAAGTTCGCTTAAGGCAAGAAGACAGTTTGGTAAGTACTTTGAGGGCAAAGAGTTGGCAAGTGGAGAGTCCTGCTTGGGCTCAGAGTGCCGGCAACTCTGCCTCCTCCTCCTCCTCCTCCTCTTGCTCCTTCAGTATTGGGACCTTGAGAGTTGCAAGGATCTGGCCAACTTTAGGACCAGCCTGGGGTCCCTGCTGCCCCAGGCTGACTGGACTGCAATTCCTAGCACTCCTGAGTGCCGTTCAGCACCCTCTGGGAGGTCCAAGTTTCCCCTCCATGTTGCAGAAGCTTGCAGTGCAGGACTGTCCTGCAGCAAAACCGTGTCAGCAGAGGCAACCCAGGTTTGATCCTGGTGAGTTTTGCTTAGGGGCTCCTTACTGGTGTGGCCAAGGAAAAGACCCTCAGGCCGGTCCTTGCGCACGTGGGCTGGGATTGTCCTCAAAGAGAGGACCTCTTCTCCATCGGCAGCAGGTCTCCAGCCTGAAGAGCGAACTGCTCTGTTTCAGCGCCGTTGCGAAAGTGATGAGGAAGACCTGCCCGGCCAAACGGCAGCGTCCCATCGTCTCCTGAGGCGGAGGAGCAGCATCTCATAACTGGGACCCACCGGTTGGACTGCAGCGGCTGAGAGCCGAGCTCATGGTATGAGCTGCTTGCCTTCCACACGGCGTCAACCTGGAACCTAAAGCTTCCTGGAGGAAGAGGCCCTGGAAGGAGATGCCCAGGACGGGGGGAGCCTTGGCCCAGCCCAGATGTTCTTGCAGGAAAGGGGAAGATGGAGGAGTGCCGCCATTCTCTTCGGGGCAGGGCCACCTGGCCACCAGGCTACCATCCTCTCTTTTCCATCAGCAAGCAGATAATCTCTGGACGAGGCTGCAAACAACTTGGTCAAGGCAGCGACACTCTGCTGACCTTGTTTCACCCCAAACGTGTTTCTCAAGCTTGGCAACTTTAAGATGTGTGGACTTCAGCTCCCAGAATCCTCCAGCCAGCATCCTGAAATTGCCAAAGTTGATAAGCACCAAGCCAGAAAGATGCAGCGAAAGTGGTGCTGAGAGGCCGGTCTCTCATAGGTTGCCTCTGAAAATACCTTCCATGGAAAGCAGTATGGCGCTGAGAAATAACAGGCATGTCCATGTGTGTTTGGCTCTTATGCTGATGCTGTTTTTAAGAAATGGCAGGAGGCACGTACAAACAATGTGAACATCAAGCTGGACTTCTGGAGAGCCCGTCTGAAGCCAGTAAAAAAGCCACAGCCGGGAGAGAAGCCTTGGCCTCAGCCAGCCTCTGAGCATGCTGGGCTCAGCAGGGTTTCCCTTGCACCGATTCTCCCCATCACTGGCGACATGGAGCTAGTTGGGCAACTCTCCCAACCAAGCTGTGTATTTCTTTTCACGCATGTGCAGCATCTTCTCAGGGAATTCATGGCAGTTACCTGGTTTCATTTTCTTTTTACCTTTTAAAGAGATGAGGATGTCCATGCGATCGCTCAGGTTCCCGTTTGCCAGTAGCCAGAAGGTGCAATGTTGGGCATAGAGGAAGCAAGCAGGCACGGAAGCTCGGCTGTGCCCCCTTGGCTGGGTGACCAGGCAAAAGGCTGCAGTCAAGCAGGCTGAATACCCTTTGCCGCCTTTGGAAAGCGAGAGCGACCCCCCAGGGAGTTCAGGCCTTTCCATAACCATAGTTAGCTTCATGCTGCAAATCTGAGATCTTCCCCAGGTTGATTTCATTCTTGATTGTTTGTGTGTATATCCTGTGTCTCCCCCTAACAAGGTGGATTCTCCCAAAATAAAAGAGTTACATATGAGGTAGCAGTTTCAGCAACGTTGTTAGCATCACGCCTCTAAAAATTCTGGTTTCACGATAGGCTGTGCATCGCTGGTCTCTGCATGAGGAAGGAGCGTCTTTAATGCGTGTGGCCTGCTGAGAGAGAGACACACACAGAGACCGCCAGCCAAGAAGGGCGCTCTGGAGCCCTTCCAGCCTAATCTGCATGATCGAAAGGCGGTCCGAGTGGCTCCTTCAACCCTGTGCCATCTGCAGGACGGACAGCTGCCCTCCTGCCCTTCCAAGGGCTTCTCTTAGCAGCCCCGGTTGGCCAGTGCTGCCCCTTTGGGAGCCTGGCAGTCGAAGCCTTGCCCCAAAGGCAGGCAGGGCGCCTGAGTTGCTCATGGCTGGAGGGAGGAGGATGCTCTCTGCAGCCAGGTCCCCTCCTGGAGCCTCTGCAGCTGGCATCTGTCCCTGGGTGGCTGGCTCAGTCCCTGGAGGTGGCCAGCAGACGGGATGGGGGGAGGGCAGCCTCTCCTTGGCCAAAGAAGCGCTTTTATGGCAGGAGTGGGGAGGGTAGGCTGGCTGGGGTCTTGTGCTTCTGTAGGGGAGACCCTTTACTTGGGAAGATCTCCCCCCACACACACACTTTTGGGTTGGTGGTGAGGAACAGGCCCACCAGAATAGAGGGTGGAGCTTTATTTTTATTTTTCTTTGCCCTTATTTCCATGTTCTTTTGAGAATCCTTTTCTGAAACGGAGGATGAACTTTACCAGCAGCAGATTCTGGATTTCAGGCCAGGGACCTTGGGAC